CAAAGGTGAAGAAACTATAGTTGTTCATTACCTATTTCAGCTATTTGTTCATAGGTTCTTATAGGTTGTGATCCAATTCTAATAGGGACCTCCAGTATCTACTACAAATGAAGCTTCCTCAGCATCATGTAAGCGGAAGAAAGGTGAAAAGAACAGAGGAAATAACCAAAGATGCATGGGAGATCTACTGGTGCTTCCATTTTTGTCAAAATTTTCTGTGCCTTCGAAGAGTTACAAACTGGATGCTAGTACTTCAGCAGCGTGAGTTCTATACATTTTCATGACTTCTGATTCTAACTCATTGAAATTCTTGGCAGATGTCTAAACCAAATAATAAATGCTTTTGCAAGCTCTGAGCAGTGTGGTACATGTTTGTTTGACGTAGTGAGTAATGTTAAGTTAAATGCTTGCAGTGGGTATTAGAAAATATGTTCTTGTAATGGAACTTTAAAAACTCGTTTTGCAAGCTCGTGATCAACTTGTCGTAGATATTTTTCAGTAGACTGAAAGTATATACAAGGCTCTCTTATCTTCTTTGCAAGACTTCTCAGACAACTATTAAACATTTTGAAAATCTAATATCGGGTTGTTTACTGTTCTCTTTCTCTTTAGTATATCTTGTTTCATTTCCTTTTACTTTGTTATTAAGCTGACTTTGTTGCTACGTCGACATGTCAGCTATTTCGGTGTCCTAATGGCATATGGTAGCCTGGAAGAGGTGAGCAAATCTGGTTCTCTTTGTTTTGGAATTAAGCATTGACTGATGTAGTACATAGACTTATGATGGCTCCCTTATTCCGGCAGTTTATCCAAGAACAAAATCCTGAGTATGTGGCATCTTTTGTCCGTACCCGTGTGCTACCGATTTATTCTACACCTGATTGCTCACCTTACTTGGTTGCATCTGCAAATTGGGTACTTGGAGAGCTTGCGTCTTGCCTACCTGAGGTGTAAATTTTACTTATTCTTCTTGATGCTGTAAATCACCGAAATATTTATATTTATGAAAACCTGGGATATGATATATTTTAGTCACTGATTAAAATTTGTAACAATTTACTTCTAGTGATCACATAATTGATTAATTGCTTTATGTTTTCAGGAGATGAGTGCAGATGTTTTTTCTTCCCTACTGAAGGCATTAGCAATGCCAGATCAGGTGGAGATTTCTTGTTACCCAGTGCGTTTTTCAGCTGCTGGTGGAATAGGTTCACTGCTCGAAGTAAGTCAGCACTTACATTAGCAATTGCACGTGTGCTTGAAGTGATGGCTTGTCATATCTAACTCAAAGAATATGTTTGTTCTCTCCAGAATGAGTACCAACCACCTGAATGGTTGCCGCTTCTTCAGATTATTACTGGTAAGATTGGTAATGAGGAAGACGAGGATAGCATGTTGTTTCAGCTTCTCAAATCCGTGGTCGAGTCGGGAAGTCAAGATATTGCCACGCATATTCCTTACATTGTCTCTTCGCTAGTTAGTAATATGTTGAAGTTTATGCCTCCAAGTGAAGATCCATGGTCTCAGGTATGTTTAATTCCTGCCTTTCTTAATATTTTTGCTTATATTTGAAGCTTCGACAACATGAAACTGAAGGTAATGGAATGTATTCCTCGTGTTTTGAAGTAAAAAAATTGACACATTCTGCGTATGTTTATATCACGCACATGAAATCCTTGACGCTACCAAAATATTTGTAGTATTTCAGTTGTTCCTGGTCTAGGTACTGTGAAATTTTTACTATCTTTCGAAGACATTACAAGTTAGCAGTTCAACCTTATTTTTAATACCTCTTATATTGTTTTCAACATAGGCTATTCTAGGTGGCCTTGAGACATTAGCAGCGATGGCTCAGACTTATGAAAGCTCTAAGCCTGAAGCGGATGAGGAGAATAATCAGGCGACTGAAATATGGCTAACTGGTCAAGGCACCATCAGCAAAGCTTTGTCAGCACTTTTACAGCATGCATGGCTGGTAGTTAAATTATGTCTTACTCTAATCACTGTGATATCTTCAAACATTACTACTCCTTTGTACTACAATTTATAGAAATTGAAAAACGGTTCTAATTTTAGGATACTGCTCTGCCTTTTCTCTTTGCATGGTTCAGGCAACAGATGTTCCTCCGACTTCAAGCATAGATCATTTGTCGACGATGTTGCGGTTCATTGTGATTGCCTGCACTAATTGCAATGTATTTGTCGAGCTCAGATTAACTGAATTACTCATAGTTTGGGCCGATATTCTTGCTAGTTGGAATGGCTGGGAAGAGTCGGAGGACTTATCGGTTTTTGACTGTATAGAAGAAGTTGTGGGTATAAACAACAAATATGGTTTTAGGAGTTTCCTTTTCAGAGATATGCCATCCCCTCCAGCCATGCCAGTCCGTCCGCGATCTGTTGTTGAATCCATTGGTTCATTTGTCAGCAAAGCCATACTTGAGTATCCGTCGGCCACAAGGAGGGCTTGTTCTTGTGTCCACACATTATTATATGTACCCAACTACTCATCTGACGTCGAAGGGGTGGGGAAATCATTGGCGATGGTCTTCACTGAATCAGCCTTTTCTCATTTTCTAGCATTGCGTGAGAAACCTTGTGCATTGTGGAGGCCTCTATTATTGGCAATATCATCATGCTATATCTCCTATTCCGATATTGTGGAAGGCGTTTTAGAGAAAGTGATATCTGGAGGTTTCGAGTTATGGGTATCTTCATTGGCTTTTTCATACTCGCTTATGTGTGATGCCAGTCCATCAGTAGTATCGGAAGTAAAACTATATGGTGAGTAGATAAATCTTTCCTTTCTGTGGTGATTCAGAATTATCAAACTTACGATTACAGCTCACATGTTAAAACCTGTGCTTTTGCCAACTCGTTAATCATAAAAGGTTTAGTTGTATATAGTAGCTGTTGTTAATCATAAATGCATGAACATAGGCTAAAAGACCTCTTGTTTCAGTGATGACGGTAGTAAAGGTGATCGAGCATCTTTTAGATGTAAGGCACGGGAATGCAACTGATGATTTGGCAAGGAAGTGCTTTGTTTCATTGATGGAGGCTTCTCGGAGGCTAAAGGAAGTGAACGAAGAAACAGACGATGATGAAGATGATGGAGAACCCGGAGAAGAAGAGACAGAATGTGAAGAAACTGATTTAAATGACGAGGTTTGATTTGATTTCTAGTACTCACTATTAAATTACAATCAAAGTATGTTCTGTAATTTATTGTTAAAACTAGTAAAGGATATAAACTCAGATAAGCAATCAATGTACTGGTCCAGTTGCAAAGTAGTTTATAAACGGCTAGTTTCAAGAAACAACATTGGATCTTCTAGTGATTTGTTTCTTCCCAAATAAGCAGTCTCATTTTGTGTCTTTTTTGAACAGGATTCCGAAAGCGAGGAGTATGAAGAAACGGAGGAAGAGTTTCTAGAAAGGTATGCTAAAGCTGCAGCAGAATTGGAGGATAGTGAAGTAATTGAAGAGGCGGATGAAGAAGATGATGACCATGAGATTGATTTGGGTAAGTTTGCTCTTCACAACAAGATAAGAAACAACTTACAACTTTGTTTAAAATCGAGATTTTTAATTAACCTTAAGTACTGATATTGCAGGTTCTCTGAATGAAATCGATCCGCAGAAACTGGTGTTAACATTAATGGAGAAGCATCACGAGAAAGTAATAAAACTCGTACCCTCTGAAGTTATCTCAACCTTTCTCAGTTCTTTTCCTGTATACACAAGTCTCTTCTCTAAGTGCCTCTAAACATTAAACTACAGTTTTATCTTTCTCCAAGTTTTGATGCGGTTTTGTTCATGTTGTGTTTGTGATTCTGAGTCAGTGTGGTGTTCCATGTTTGATTGAGGCTTTTGAGCCATTTGAAACTTATCAGATCAAAAAGTCTTTTGATGGTCTCTTAATAGACTTATAAGACATGAGAAATGATCTTCTATATTTTAGAGATGTTTCTGTAAGAAATTTGTATACTGTCTGTTTCTAATATTCAATATTGTTCACTTGTTTTTAGTGGTTTTCAATTTCCATGGATGGAGTTACATTTACATATTTGGATAATGTAGGCCATGCAAATCTGGCAAGTAACGACCTTTTATTTACCGTTTCTGGTTAGGGATCTTTTAGACCATTGGCTTGTAAAGGTCAATTTCAAGGGTATTATCGACTTTAGTAGTATTGTATTGTACTTAAGATTCTTCGGTTGAAAACGCTGCGTATTACAACAAAACAGCGGAATCTGTCTTTGCGCGTCTTCTGGGGTTTTCTAATTTTCCATTTTTCACAGTCAGCGAATCTTCTCATCGTCTTCTTCGTTTCTCTCTACCTCACTCATCGAAGTGTTTAGGTTTCTTCGATTCGGCAGATTATTATTTCAACTCTTTCTGCTGAACTCGCTATCCTAACTTCTCTCTCTGTCACTCTAACTCTTTGTCGGTACCCAAATTCTTCTTCAGTTGAAGAATTGTTTAGGTCAAGTATGACTTGATACTGCCAAATTTCTGGTATATTTATCAAATTTCTGCTTCAATTTGTCTGCTTTTATAGCTGGATTTTTTTTTTAATAAGCTTATTTGATTTCGTTTCTTAGCATTTTTAGCTTCACGTTGATGTAAGCTTCTAAGCTTATTTGATTTCGTTACTTTGCATTTTTGAGATTTTTATTGGTGTTATTTTTGGTTTTGTATAATTTAGATTTCCGTCCATCTAGTAAAATAGGGTTTCTCTGCGTACATTTAGAGCTCTCTCTCTCTCTCTTTTTCGTGTGGTGCTCACTTTTTGTATTGCAAGAGAGTCTCAGATATATGTGATTGTTTTGCTGCCGTGCTAGTTTGAGTTTCTCTTTATTTCTGGATTTGTAATTGTATCTTCACTGAGAAATTCTGTTTTTAGGCTTTTAGCTGATTTCTTTAGTTTAATTTACATGAAAGTCCCATTTTTTGAACTTTTTTTATATATAAATTTCAGGTTGGTTTATTCAACTCCATTGAACAAAATATTTTATCAGATAAATTGAAGCAATGTATACCGAGGGAGCCTCTGATTTTGTCACTGATCAGAGCATGTATTATCCTGCTTATTACTCTTCAGGTTGATAGCTGGTTCACTAAATTTACTTATCACTCTTGCTTTCATGGTTGCAAATTCCTTAAGTTACTGGATTTTTGTACAGGTTATGATTCATCTGTCGAATGGGAGAACCGTCAGGTTATTCTTGGTGTAGATGGTTCAGAGGTCCAATACTCGGTGTGTGAAACTTGCTGTTTTTTTTTTTTTTTTTGTCTTATCTGCTAACATTCTACTCTGTGCGTCTTCAGGGTGGCCAAAATGAAAATTCTCCTTATATCTGCTATACACCAAGTTATGGATATGCACAGTCTCCCTACAATCCCTACAATCCTTACATACCAGGCGCATCAATAGGCGTTGACTCTTCTTTTCTTGGATTCCAACAATATTACTCAAACCCTCCCTATGAAAATGCTGCATCTTCACCTACTTATGCTCCATATCTTATTCAGCCTGATATGGTCTCGAATAGTTCAACAGACTCTTTGGTAGCGACTGATTTAGCCAATGGTGGTCAATCTGATGGAAGAGGATCCAGGCAGAAAAATGGTTCAGCAATTGCCGGACTTTCAGAAGATGCTCCAAAATCTTCAACAGTGAATTCCTTGGGTAGGACCTATGGGAAGCTAAGGTCTAACACTGGCCAGAATAAACAGCCAGGAATCCCCAAGAATGTTTCCGCAACAGCTTCCGCGCATTCTCTCCAGGTAGTTTCTCGTATAGGATTATTCCTGATTCTGTTTTCTTATAAATATTGGGTGTATCTTTGCATTACGAGGAGTGTTTTTTTTATAACACAGCAGTGCTTTTTTAGCCAACGTTGATTCTGGTGTCGTGTGTATGTTTTTGCAGGGAAAAACTGCCTCCGTTGACACTGTTTCCAGTAGCAGACTCTCGTCTTATGGGCACTTTGACATTGCTAAAGGGTTTCCATCCATTGTTTCAAATAGTTGCAAGCCTCGTTCCAAGATGTATGATAGCAGAGGTGATAATGACTAGGGGTGTCAAAATGGGTTAATACCCATGGGTTACCCGAACCCGCCCATGATTATAGTGGGTTTGGGTAGAATTTTTTTACCCATATATATAAATGGGTTTTAGTGGGTTACCCTATTAGGGTTATGGGTTTAATGGGTAAAACCCATTAGGGTCATGAGTTACCCATGAGTTTCATAACCAAAACTAAAAAGTAAAATTTATATATATCTATATTAATATATTATGTAAAATTTATATAAATATATGTAAAATATCTTCTTTTCTTTACAACTATATATGTATAATATCTAGATTTTTTTAATTTATTATTTAAAAACTTTTGTTGGTTTACAATTTTATGTTATTTTTTTGGATTTTTATTATTTATATATTTTATTATACATATATATGGGTACCCATATAACCCATTAAGCCAATGGATTTCTACAATAATGGGTTTGGGTATGTAAATTCAACCCATATAAATATATGGGTCGGATCAAACCCGTCCATTAAACACTCGAACCCATATGGGTTTGGGTCGGGTCGGGTCGGGTTACCCATTTTGACACCCCTAATAATGACGTAACTGGAAGTCCAGATACGAGTGAACAAAATCGAGGTATAAGAACGAGAAGATCAAGAAATCAACTAATTGTCGAAGCTTATACAACCAAAGCTGGAAACGTTGATGCGGAAGGAAACATTGTGATAAGTCCTGATCAATATAATAAAGAAGATTTCAGTCTCGATTACAGCGATGCCAAGTTTTTTGTGATTAAATCGTATAGTGAAGATGATGTTCACAAGAGCATCAAATATGGTGTCTGGTCATCAACAGTGCATGGGAACAAGAAATTGCAGAGTGTATATGAAGATACTCAGAGAATAGCCACTGAGAAGTCTCGTGAATGTCCTATTTTCTTATTCTTTTCTGTGAGTCCATTCTTCCTCTTTGTTCCTTGTGCCAATGTGTTTGCATTCATACTATGGGCTCATGCTGATGTAGTGCTTCCATCATTTTAGGTCAATGCCAGTGGTCTGTTCTGTGGCGTGGCTGAGATGACCGGTCCAGTTTCCTTCGACCGAGACATGGATTTTTGGCAGCAAGACAAATGGAGTGGAAGCTTTCCTGTCAAGTGGCACATTATTAAAGATGTTCCTAATAGCTATTTCAGGCACATTATTTTACATAATAACGAGAATAAGCCAGTGACCAACAGCCGAGACACACAAGAGGTGAGTTTTCCTAACTTAACACACCACTTTGAAAACCAGATTCCGAGAACTCGGATTTTGATATCTCAAGTTTCAATCTAATCATTCTCGTTTGTGTGCAGATAATACTGAAACAAGGACTCGAGGTGCTAAAACTATTCAAAAATCATGCGGAAAAGACTTCACTATTAGATGATTTTATGTACTACGAAAACCGCCAGAGACTCATGCAGGAAGAGAGAGCTAGACTTCCGTTCAGGACCTTTCGCAGGCCATTTCCCGTGCTCAAAGTAGATTTTTCTGACAGAAGCAAGAAAAGCTCCAAGGATATCGTCAAGAAGCCTTCAGTGACCTCTGCAGAAACAAAAGGTGTGCAGTTAAACAACTCAGATGGTGATGAAAAGAGCAATACACAGGAAGCAACAGAAGATTCTACTTCTTCCACTCTGAAGATTGGCTCTCTCACCATTAAACCGACTGCTGGTACCACCTTTAACTTGACCCAAGCCAAGTCTAAACCGGCCCCATCTCTCAGCTCTGACCACAAGTCAGACTCTTCTGAAGAGGTTACTGGGTCTCTGGCTGATGACATCCTCAGAGTAGGATCGTTGTAACAGGATAAACCGGTAACCGGTTTAGTTTTCTAATCTCCGGTTCACTAATCATCTTTGGTCATTTGTTTAGACCACCAAACCATCGTGACTCTATATGTAAAGGGTTTTAGCCATTTTAAGAGAATCAATCAAAAACACAAACTATCTTCTTCAATCTCCTTTATTTCTTTCGATCATCATCATCTTCCATTAACACTGAATCTTAGATCTTCGAGGTGATCCTTCACCTTCTGGGCTTTGATTTGCCAATCTCCGGGTTCTCGGTGAATCTCTGGATTGGATTTATCTTACCTTATTTTTACTGTTTCATTGGTATCAGAGCTATTCCTTCTCCGGACCCAAAATCATGAAATCGAGTACACACAAACTCTGTTCTCTGAAATATTCATGTGAAGAAGTGTATGAGAGAATGGAAAATGGCTTGTGTATCTTTTGTGAAGAAGAAGATACGCCTGGTCATCAACAATTGAAGCACAAGAGATCACGAATTGTCATCATGGAACGTGAAGATGACCTAGCTTATGATGTTAAAGAGGAGGCTCATCAAATTCTGGAAACTGTGACTAATCCAGAGCCGACCTTAGAAACTACTAAGGATTCAGATTCGTTCATCAAACCGTTGGTAGCAGAGCGTGAGTTGGGTTCAGTTTGTGATGTGTTGCTTGTTCATAAGGTGGTTTCACATGTCAAAGAAGAGGAAGAATTACTTCAACAATCAATAAGTGGTAATGCCAAAATCGATGCACACCAAGTGTTTGATAAAATTCTTCTAAGGGTACCAAGTAAGGAGAAACAGAGGAAGTATCTTAAGGCATGGAAATTTAAGTTCAAAACCACTTCAAAGAGAAGCAAATCGATAGATGATCGATTTAAGCTAGTAGATGAGAATGGATCAAGGCTGGAAATGTTGAATCAGATAGAAACGTTTCTTTACCATCAGAAATCGAGAAGTTTAATAATCTGTGATTATCTCCATAGATTATCTCGAGCTAACCGTGTGTGGAAGCCAGGTGGATTATTGTGTCTACAAGATCATAGTGCTGGTAGCGTTCTGAAGATAACGCAGCAGTTTCATGGATTGCGTTTGCAAGGAATCATTTATATGGACATGAAATTTCAAGAAGTGTTAGTAGCTGATGTGTTGAGTGTAATGGTCTGCTTGTGTGTTCATAGCAGGAAGTTTGAAGCAGAGTTGGAAATCTATATCTCATACCATTGCCGGAAAAATTCAGAGATGGTCATTCCACGGGCAAAAGAAACTCAAGATTGGATAGTTAAAGCATGGTTTCTGATTCAAGTATTTTTTGATTTTGATATCGCATCATGGATTGAAGAAAATATATGGCTGCATTTAAAGATTGAATTGATGCTCATCTATGGATCTCTTCCAAGACCGCCAGAATCTAACGGTGTACGTGTGTGGATTTTAAACTTAATATCTAGAATTGTTGGCGGTGGAACATTCTATGTTGGTAATGTTGTGGTATGGAGAACCTTAAAAGGAAGCTTTGTCCCTAGAGTGGAGGAAATTTGTTTAGAAAGCATTAAACAGGATCTGGAGTTTGCCATTGATAGAAGAGTAGAGTTTTGGACTATTACTCATATTTTCACACTCAAAAAAATTCGGGTTTGAGGCTGTCGTCAAGGAAGGTAAGCAAGGAGTCTTTTCCCGTAGAAGCTATGCATTGGATAAATCTAATGAATGAAGCTGCATATTCTCATGATGAGAAGATCTTTTATGCTTTGACTTCTGGATTATGTCAAGCTAAAAGATATCATGAAGTGATTAGAGTGTTGGAGAAACTGAAACAGTCAAAGTTCTCTTCTGATTTATTGGACTACATGATACTTGCTGGTTTGTTTTGCGAATCAAAGCTAGAGATAGGAGTCACAGTGTTACTGGAGGAGAATAGCGACATCAAAAGGACTGTCTTCTTTGGTACAATGAAACAGTAAAAATAAGGTAAGATAAATCCAATCCAGAGATTCACCGAGAACCCGGAGATTGGCAAATCAAAGCCCAGAAGGTGAAGGATCACCTCGAAGATCTAAGATTCAGTGTTAATGGAAGATGATGATGATCGAAAGAAATAAAGGAGATTGAAGAAGATAGTTTGTGTTTTTGATTGATTCTCTTAAAATGGCTAAAACCCTTTACATATAGAGTCACGATGGTTTGGTGGTCTAAACAAATGACCAAAGATGATTAGTGAACCGGAGATTAGAAAACTAAACCGGTTACCGGTTTATCCTGTTACAATCGTTGCCCATAAAAGTTAAGGGATCTGTAGATTCATCCTCGAAGATCGAAGCAGTTGGTACAACTTCTCTCAACTCAAGATCACTTGAGAAGTAAACCAGGATTTTGACATTGTCTTTGTCTAACTTGTTTATGCTTGATATAAAAGCATGGTCAATATGGTTCGAGAAAGAGATTGAGTATGTATAGATTGGTTGGTTTTACCTTTAAACGGGTCTGATTGGTGGTTTGAGAATCCTAGGTCAAATGATTGTTGCTAGTGGTTTCGTTTTGGTTTGTTGGGATTTGATTAAAGATTTGGTTCCATCTTTTGAGTATTTTGATCGATGTGGTTTGGCATGCTATATTATGTATGCGACTGGTGTTTCCTCTTTCAGCATCAAATACAAAGGCACTATGTTGAGTCTGGAACAAATACAAAGTTCCAAACTCAAGGCTTTCGTAAACCTACAGGATCAAAATCGTTCCCTTTCATCAAGTTATAACACACCAACTTATGGTTGGATATTTTGCAATGAGGAGTTGTGACTTGTGAGTTTGGTCATAGGAAATTCCGGGTCTGAGGCTCATAGTCTTCTCGGGCCCAAAAACCAGAGCGAGTAACTTATTTGACTGAACCGTCTCTATATAAAAAGATTGTAAACGTGGAAGTAAAACCCTAATCACCATTTTGTTTATCCTTGACCAAATTTCCATTTCATTGATATTTGTTAAAACAATGACGAAGATTTCCGATCTTCCTAGGGATTTGGCAGAGGAGGTGCTCTCTAGGGTTCCGGTTACATCTCTGAGAGCAGTACGATTTACTTGTAAAAAGTGGAACGCTTTAACTAAACATCGGAGCTTTACAAAGAAGCTGGTTTGTCAAGCAAAAGCAGAACCAAAGAAGAAGCAGGCGAAGGAGATTTATGCGATCATGACGATGAATTATAAGGTTTATCTGATGAGCGTCAATCTAGATGAAATTCACAAAGACGACAATGTTGAATCATCTATAAAGCAGAAAGGTAAACTTATTAGCCTAAACGTTGCTGATCGAATATTAAGTATATCTCAAGTTTGTCACTGTGATGGTTTGTTGTTATGCATCACCAATGACAACTCTAGGCTTGTGGTTTGGAACCCTTATTCTGGGCAAACAAGAAGGGTCCAACCTCGAATTTCTTACAAGAGATGGGACTACAAGTATGCTCTCGGATACGAGATGAAGAACAACTCGTATCGTAGCCACAAAATTTTGAGATTTAGGGATAGTTATCTGGGTCCATTCCAACCACTATGGGAGTTTGAAATCTACAATTTAAACTCTAATTCATGGAAGGATGTTGAGGTCACTCCAGACTGGACTATAGATCAACATGGCGTGTCTCTCAAGGGTAATACTTACTGGTCTTCTCTAAGACATAAGAGCTTACATTTTGAGATATTAGAAGAGATCCCTGGTTTTTTACTCTGTTTTGATTTTACAACAGAGAAATTTGGACGGCGTCTGCCTCTGCCATTTAAGTACCCTATTAGAGAAGATACTCTAACTCTATCTATTGTTAGAGAAGAGCAACTTGCAGTGTTAGGTCAGCATCAACATTGGACAGAGATATGGATTAGTAATAAGATTGAGCCAAATGCGGTGTCATGGAGCAAATTGTTTCTAATAGTGGATGAAATAAGACTAGACCCGGCTAGAGCTGCGACTTTCTTCGTTGATGAGGAGGAGAATGTGGCCGTGGTTTTTGATAAAGGCAAATGGGTTCATAAGTCCAGTCGCAACACAGCCAACATCGTTGGAGTGGATGGATACGACAAAGAAGCGGATCTCGGAGAATCTGTCCACAAATATTGTTTTCCACTTGTGTGCTCTTATGTTCCAAGTTCAGTGCAAATATAGCAACTTACACCATGCACGAAATAAAAGGAAGAAACCATGTCATTAGTTAGTCCATTTACAAAATCTATGATTTAGTTCTTGCTTTGTTCTTTTGTCATGTTCTTTGATGATGATGAAGAAGATTAGTCAAAACAAATTTTTTAAAAAATCTTGCATTAACAGTAGTACAAACTCAACAAGACTCGGCGAAGAAAACATAAGCTTTGTTGAGAAATAACTCGAATTCTATTAATTATCTCTGTAAAATTCAATCATTCTCAAAGTTTGGGAATTGGGAGAGTACGTTTCCTTGGTTTTTTTCATCAAGTTTGGATGTTTTTACACGTTGCTTGCGTATCTAATATATTAATTAATTTAGTTCTTAATTTAACTCTTAAGTATAAACATAAATCTTATACAAATTTTAGCATCTTAAAAACATTACAAATATATATATATATATATATTTTTTTTTAAATTATCTAAAAACTTCAAATATTAAACAGAAACTAGTTATATGAAAAAAATGTGTGGGTTTCTTGAATAGTGAAGAAACTCTTTCCAAAATATGTCACTAATTGGGGTTGCTCTTATGTTCCAAACTCTATGATCTGGACCGTTCGTTTTACTCAAGCGCTCGATCTACCGGACTGCTCAAAAGGAATGAATAAATTCCGAATTCGTTTCAGATTTGACCATAGTCTCAGCAGTGTAGTCCACGCGCCACGGTACAGTGCGATCAAGTTCTTCTCGCTTTTCCTCCTCCGGACTGGACTCGATTGGGTGAGACGCGGACCACCGCACAGGCATGCACCTTCTTCCTCTCTCTCTATCTCTCGCTCTCTTTGTCGCAATCTCTGGAATTTGTGTGATTTTCGGAACTACTTTTCTAAGTGTCACTCGTGGTTTCATCTCTTAGTTCGAGGTGTGTTCTATTTTTGGGGCTTTGGACAAATCATCAATGAGCAAGAAGCTGTTTTCCATTTTAAGTTCATTTTTGTGTTCTTTTTGAGGTGTTTGTTTTTTCTTCATGTGTTGTGTTATTTGGGGACACTGACATAATAATCTCTCTGGTATCTATCTGCAGGCTTTCATGTGATATTTAATATCTTGCTTTGGAGTTTGTGGACCTTGCTCGTGTTGATTTTGTATTCAGATGGTATGGAATTTGGCTACTTTGAGAGTGTCAACTTTTTGGAATCACTTTTTTCAATCTGTGTTGCATGTTTTTTCATAAGTTTTTTTCTGGAATTTTGCAGGGTGATTTGCGTAGACGAAATGGAAATGGAGCTTCCTCTAATCATGAAAGGAATGAGCAGATACTGTTTCCAAAACCAGAGACTTTGGACTATGAATTGCCCTGCGACACCTCTTACCCGCACCAGATTGGTGTATGTTTGTTAACCTTTCTGTACCTAGAGGACACAAATGGCTTCGATTCTTAAACATCCGCTGTGTCTACATTTTATAAAAAATGGTCTTTTGTTCTTTGTGAACATCTTTGAAAAAAACTAATCAACAGGTGAAAGAACAAGTAGTGGTTTAGGAAGGTTCTTATTGTTTTCCTACTTGATTTGCAGGACAATGCTGCTAGTTCTTCTGGAAGTAATGTTAAGTCATTGCTGATTGAGATGGGATTTTGCCCAACTCTTGTTCAGAAAGCAATTGATGAAAATGGTATTCTAAAGTTCCTGTAAAAAAACTGTTATTTTACGAAAGACTACCTATGGATGCTAACTTTCATTTGGGGTGTATGATTACTGAGTTTGCCTTTTCACATCCAGGTGAAGATGATTTTGAATTTCTATTAGAGATTCTCACTAAGAGTACTGTAACAGAACAACCTGGAACCAGCTTTCATGGGCTAATGGAACCCAAACCGGTAAAGCGCATAATGTGTGATCCACATGTCTTGTATTTCATTCTGTGTAATTTCTTACTGTTTCTTGCTTTTCTTTGACAGGAACCTGATATTGAATACGAAACTGATGGTAGAAGGATTGCGTTACTAACAATGCAGTTTCCAGAAAATCTAGTTGACTTTGCACTGGATAGGCTTGGTAATGTATTCACAATGACTTTGGCTTTCCATTCAAAATTTCAAACATCTTACAAAGTTACACCATTTTGTCCTTGTCTATTCATGGTTTTACATATTAGAGTTTCTTCTTTTCAGGTTATTTTTGAGTGATTAGACCTCGTGTACATTGCAAGACCAAATTTCTCACTATTGCACGATATATATATATATATATATATATATTTTTGTCCTTATAGATTAACCATCTCTTCATACTGGAACTTCTGATTGTATGACATTTAATATAGGCAAAACTAAGGAGGCTTATAGGTCATAGTATAACTCTCTGAAAAGAGAAATAACATTTATGAAGCTGTTTATTAATGCTAAAGTGGAAAATCCATCCCCTGTGACCGTATTAGAAAATTGTATATAGTTTCTAAATATTGATACTTATACTATTCAAAGCTATATAGAAACTTAGCATGCAGATAGCAGCTGTCATTTGGCCTATCGCCAAAGCCTTTCTTCATGATTGTTTGTTCTGCGTGATAGGTAAAGACGTGCCAATTGATGAGATGGTGGACTTCATTGTTGCTGCTCAATTAGCTGAAAAGTATGCGGAAGAATCTGAAGACTCACTTGATGGTGCTGAGATCAATGAAGAAGATGAAGATGTCACTCCAGTTACTGCTCGGGGACCTGAGGTCTTTGGTGCTTTTGACATTAGCTGTTGATATTATTGTCAATGCTTTTTTCTTCTTTTATGTCCTTTTGTTGGTTCACCTTAGTAGATTCCACTACCTTTCTTTTGTGTTCATTCTTTATTGTTCATGTTGTTATTACCTTATTACCTCTAATCTTTGTTTTGTGCTTTAAATTCAGGTTCCCAATGAACAATTGTTTGAAACAATGGACAAGACTTTGCATTTACTGGAAATGGGATTCTCTAATGATGAAATTTCAATGGCAATTGAGAAGATAGGTGAGCAACTGAGGCACTTATCTGTTCATCCCAGACTGTTATATGTCTGAAAGAAACAATATAGACATGAAAAGTATCATTTTTATGTTGTTGGGGGTGATTAGGATACTTTTAGGGTGTAAGAAATCCTATCATTTATTTTGTAGCCCGTCCTGTTGTACTCGTATATAATCTATTGTGCACCTCTTCAGGTACAGAAGGTCAGATTTCTGTCCTTGCTGAGTCAATTATTACTGGTGAATTTCCTGCTGTTTGCCATGATGACCTTGAAGATATAGAAAAGGTATGTTCACTCTAATGTTTTTAATTAATTTTTTCTCGACCTCAAATGATGCACTTGTGAAACGAAGTGCTGAAACTAGAGATTTTGTTGCTGCTACTGCACCGAAACCATCTCACACTCTTCTCTTAATTAAAATAAGAAATTGTTGGAGTTTTACTCAATGATATTTGGTGTCACTGTAGAAAGTTTCAGCGGCGGCTCCTGCAGTGAATCGTGCATGTCTTTCAAAGAGTTGGAGATTTGTTGGTGTTGGTGCCCAGAAAGAGGATGGTGGTGGGGGTTCGTCGAGTGGCACTGCTAATATAAAACCAGATCCTGGTATTGACTCTTTTCCTTTCCCTGCCACTGCCAATGTGGGAGAGACCTCGAAGGGTAAGCGACCAAAAGATGAAGATGAGAATGCCTATCCAGAGGAATACACTGACTACGATGACAGAGGAAAACGGTTAAGACCCGAATATATGGGTGACTCAAGTTCGTTTATGGAAACCCCATGGATGCAAGATGAGTGGAAAGATAACACGTATGAATTTCCCAGTGTAATGCAGCCACGTTTGTCCCAGAGTCTTGACCCAAATGTAGCCAAACGACCTTATTTCTTCTATGGACAGTTAGGTGAACTATCTCCTAGCTGGTGGTCGAAGATCTCGGGTTTCTTGTTCGGAATTCACCCCGAACATGTAGATACTCGGTTGTGTTCAGCGCTCCATAGGACAGAAGGGTACCTGCACAATCTTCCCACTGTTAACAGGTTCAATATCCTCCCAAAGCCTCGGTTAACTATACAAGACGCAATGCCACAAATGAAGAGTTGGTGGCCGCAATGGGATATCAGAAAGCATTTCAATAGTGGCACGTGTTCTAATACGAAAGATGTAACTCTTCTCTGTGAACGAATTGGACGCCGTATAGCTGAATGCAGGGGAAAGCCTACTCAACAAGACCAGACTCTAATACTTCGACATTGTCACACCTCCAATCTCATTTGGATTGCTCCAAACATCCTCTCACCTGTGGAGCCTGAACATTTAGAGTGCATTATGGGATATCCAACGAATCACACGAACATCGGTGGTGGAAGATTGGCTGAAAGATTGAAGTTGTTTAATTACTGCTTCCAAACAGACACATTGGGTTACCATCTCTCTGTACTCAAGTCTATGTTTCCCGAAGGTTTAACAGTTTTATCACTCTTTAGCGGGATTGGTGGTGCGGAAATTGCATTGGACCGCCTTGGAATCCATCTAAAAGGCGTAGTCTCTGTAGAGTCTTGTGGATTGAGCCGTAACATACTAAAAAGATGGTGGCAGACTTCGGGACAAACCGGTGAGTTAGTGCAAATTGAAGAAATCAAAAGCTTAACGACAAAGAAGCTGGACACTTTGGTGCAGAGATTTGGGGGATTTGACTTTGTCATTTGCCAGAACCCATCAACACCACTTGATCTCTCTAAAGAAATCTCAAATAGCGAAGCCTGTGAATTTGATTATACCTTGTTTAACGAGTTTGCTCGTGTCACGAAACGTGTCAGAGATATGATGCAGTTAAGTTGACCAAGAGTCTCCTTTACGTCCTCAAGAATCTGGAGGAGACTTGTCTAATCTCAGAAGGAGTCTTCCATTTTCTTTGCTGAAGGTAATTCAGTCAATCGTGGAGACTTTCAACTAAGGAACTGTTTTTTTTTGCAATTGATGCTTTAATGCATCACTCTGTGTACCATAATCCGCGTAGAAACGTGGGATATCTTCTTTTTACTTTTTTGCTATGCTACTTCTCGGAGAGATAGACAGTGAATCATGCGGTCAATGTTGTTGTATCTTGTTCACGTTTATGTATAATATTAGCACTTTTTCTGAATTCCTTCTTTTTTAGCTCAATGTTGTTGGTTGCTTAATTCATACTCATCTTCGTCAAAATCAATTGTTAACGAATCTAAGCGAGAGCCAAATAACTGTATGATTTGAAGTAGAGAACCACTTGATTGATTGCACACGAAAATCATCAATGCCGAGTCACTGAAGCTACTCGATCAAGTCTTTTATTAAAGCCAACTTAGTTGCATTATTAGCCTACAAGCATTGAACTAGAGAGATAGAGAGAGAATAACAATGGGAGAGTCTGCAACCAGACTGCATCAGGATCTCTGGCTAACCTTGCCTCCTGTCAGCTTTGCTGACTCAAACAACATGTGATTGATGAGTCCCCGAGCAGCACTGCCAAATACCAGTATCAGAGAATGTTGAGTCATTCCAAACTTTTCAAATACATGATCTCAAGAGAGTAATATATGATCTCAAGCAGCTGTATGTGTGTGTGCATGTGTGTTTGTGTGAAACATCATCTTTTTGCAGTAACATGCCTAAGTTTTACATCTGATCTAGTTACAAGGTATTACGAGCTTGGGGAGAAAAAAGAAAACTCACTCATCTTTAAGCTTCTGAATCTTCTCAGGGTCTGTCTCATTCATGTGTTTCTTAAATTGTTGCCTCACCATACCAACCACTAGCTCAGTGTTGTGTTGCTGCAAGACATAAACGTGTAAACATATCAAAGTTCACTCCTAAATCTCCTCCATTACAGGATATCTATAATCCTAACAAAAACGCACAAATCTCTTTCTTGATGAATCAAAACACAAATGATGATAATATCAATCTCAACCTTTTCTGCTTGCATCACATCAATACATATTTCAGGCTTCAATCAAACTGCATTCGGGTATAACTATCTCAAGAGGGTCAAGAGAATCGACTCAAAAAAGTATAGATAGACACGAGCTCTGGGCGAAGACACAAAGACAAAGTATCCTGACTCTAAATGAAAATCTCTACTTTTTGCTATAAATTACTAAGTGACTAAAAGTAAAATCATGTGAAGAATCTTATACTACAAACAAGAATGGCAATCAAACCAAACGCAATCCCATCGAAAGTAACAGAGATTCTGTGTCTGACATAGCAGGTTCATATCCAAAGCTCAGAGAAAAAATTAGCTATAAATCTCACCTGCTTACCAATAAATTTAGCTCTACGAAGACATTCTCGGTACAACTGCCCATAAAAAAGAGACAAATACATCAGTGAAATAGCATCAACGAAAGAAAAAACAAATCACAAGTTAAATGTGGACATTGTTACTGACCCTAACCACATTGTTAGCGAGTTCAGGAGGCAGAGACGTTTGCAGAGACGGCATTTTCACAAGAGATCTTGAGCTTCTTCAATTACAGTTTCTTTTCCTATTATCGAAACACAAGATCGCAAACTATCAATCAGAAGAGACGATGAAATACACACAACCAAAAACCCTAAACCCCAAAAGGTGCAGTGACTGAAGAGCAAAGCTTACTCTTTTAAGTCCCCACTTCAAATAAAGTTGATCGAGAAGGCATAAATTGGATTTAAGAGAACAAATAGAAGAAATCAATACAACATTTCAAACCAAATAGAGAGCGAGAGGGAGAGAAAGACAAATAGAACGAGACTTACCGGAGAACAGACCGAACGGCGATGAGAGAGACGGAGAGAAGCAAGCATTCAACGGTGAATTTTCCGATTTAATATTTCAGCTTCAGGTAAAGCATACAAATAAACGACAGCGTTTTACAATATTTTTACAAACGGCCCAATAAGTAGTTACAATATTTTACAAACAGCCCAATAAGTAGTGGCCCATTTTATATTTTCCGATTTAAATATTCGAAACAATCTCATCCGTCCAATGTTTGCGTTACCACTTACCAACCGTAGATTTAATCGTCCCAGAGAGAAATAAATAATATCCTACGTGGATATAGCTTCAGACTCTAGTAGCAATTTCCCGCTAAAATCATAATTAAGATCCTAGCCTAGATATAGATGCAACATTGAGAACTGGAACCGTCTCTTCTTCCTTTAATTCGAAAAAACCCTAATTCTCTCTCCGTACCGTTCGTCTCCCCCAAACAATTGCGATGGACGATGCTGATCTCGCCTCCGGCTCCAGCTCAGGTTCTTATTTCTTCTCCAGAGAGCTAAAGTCTGATTCTTTCTATGGATTTTATCCCTATCCCAATTTCTAGGGTTTATTCTGATCTCTGTCCCTTAAAATTTTGTGTCTGTAAATCTACCTCTTTGTCTTTTTGAGTTATATGTACTGAATTTACAGTCTCTATATATGAAAGGTTTTTTTTTTCTTCACTGCTTATGTGTTTAAGTGCCTCTGAAATTATCCTAACATTATTGTATCATGGTGATTTTAGATATGAAGAAGAAACAAAAGCTGGATGATTCTGTCGATGATGGGGCTCTGGAGGACGAGAAACGTCGCTATAGATCTATGGCCAAGGTTGCTATTGGTTATGGGATTAATCCTTCTGTCGAGAACTCGGTCATTACTGACATGGTGCACACCGTGTGCCCGGATTTTTCTCTCGATACTTCTAAACTCAAGACCGCAGTTCTGGAGATGCACGAAGAAGGTAAAGACAAGGTCAAGAAAATGCTCAAGGATGGACAAGGGAAATTAACACTCTGTTATGAATGGTTTTGGACAAGTGATGACATTGATGGACCTATTTTGAACGAGGATTTCATCGGTATTAGCGCCTATTTTGCTGATGAAAACTGGAAGATGAAGAAATGGATCTTGGGGTATCATCCTCGTGAGTTTTTGCGTGTGAAAGACATTTATGTTGATTCTATTAAGAATGTTATTCTGGATTATGAGATTGAGAGCAAGGTCTCGACTCTTCTAATGCCTAACTATGGTGATCTTGGTGTTGAAGCGTTTGATGCTTTTAGAAAATGGATAGAAGAGAAAGGGGAAAATCAGATCGACTCTCGTGTGTTCCTCATCTATTGCTGCTCTGACATTTTCCGGTTAATGGTTGATGATATGTTTAAGGACATAAACATATGGCTGATGGAACGTGTTCGGATGTTGGTTGGTTGGGGAAGAATGGTACCGACCAATTGGGATGTCACGTTGTATAATCTGCAAAAAGCTGTAGATATGGAAGCCAAGAATGTATTTGAAGAGGAAGAAGATTACCAGGATTATGAACAACCATCTGATGAAGAATGGATCAAGATTAAAACTTTTTGCAAACTTGCTGGTTGCATTTATAAAGTTGCAAAGGAACTTTTTGACGGAGAGTATCCAACATCTAATGTCTACTTCCACCTTCTTGCAGAGCTAAAAGTCATGCTAAACAAAGAGCTCAAGAACGGTGATAATGATTACTTCCTCTGCAAAGCCAAGGAGATATTGGAGAGGTTTGATAAGTACTGGAATGATATGTTCCTGGTTTTGGCAACTGCTTCTGTTTTAGACCCTCGGTTCAAGATGAAGTATCTTGAGTTTTACTGCTCAAAGAATGAAGTTAGCGATGAAGGTTCAAAAGCTGAAACTGTTGTGGACTATTTACGCGGTCTATATGCTCGCTATGCAGCTAGTGATATCAGTCCACTACCAAAATGTCCCGATGCTTCGATGAACCCAAATCCCAGTGGTTTGTTTAAGTATTTGTTCGACGAAGAAGATGAAGAAGAAAAGGAGGAGAAGAAACCTGATGGATACAAGGATTTTGTTTTGTTTCAAGAATTTCTCATGTTTGAAGGATCTTCAAGGGAGTTTCAAGAATCAGAACTTGATTCATATCTCAAGGAACCTGTTATGGAGTGGAAAAAGGACTTCAATGCATTGGAATGGTGGAGAGAAGAGAACTCAAAGTACCCGATCCTCTCCAGAGTAGCTCGTGACATTCTCTCCATTCCAATCTCTCGTGGAACATCGCACCGTGCTTATGTTGCTGACAAGAGAGAGTGTCCTGATTTTATCGTCTCCATGGAGGCCAAACTTGTGAACGCCATGATGTGCAGCGAGAGCTGGCCACGACTTTGAAATGAGCTAATTTGGTAAGAAGAATAAATTCTATGGCTTTTATGAAAACTTAGTAACTCAAATGTTCTCAGTTCCTTCCAAACTATGTTTCTGGTCACCAATGTAATGGTTCGAACCTACGTTTCTTGTTGTGTTTCCTTGATCTTTTATTGAGAACTACGTTTTATTCCTCGCCATGTGACTTCTCTATGCTTTGTTTCGGAGACTATTTTGATAGATTGATCAGAACTGAACTTGATATTGTTAGTTTTGGTATTTTTGTCTTACTGGATTGATGATGATGACCTCTAAAATCAAAATCACCTGTTAGTAGATGTATAATGATCAATAATTTCATAACTGTTGGTTTCATTTTTTACCAAAAAAAACTATTGGTTTTGATAATATGCGTCAACAATTTATCTTAAGAAATCTAGTCAATTATGATTGATTTTTTTGGTAAAGATCAAAAACAGAAAATACAGTATAACGTTTTTCCGTTTAATTAACTAATTGCATGAAATTTTCATTGAGCATAAAGTTTACAAATTCAAAATTTTGTCGTATTAATACCACATAATGAAACGGTGTCGTTTATTAACTTATGAACCTAGAAAACGATATTGGGCTCAAAGTATAAAAAGCCCAATAAGAAACAAGTATCTTCCCTATTTCCCATTTGCCGTCTTTCTTCCTCGAGAGAGTGAAGTCAGAAACCACGAGATGACGACGATGATTTCCGATCTTCCATACGATTTGTTATCCGAAATACTCTCTAGGGTTCCGATCAAGTCTCTACCGAAACTGAAAACCACTTGCAAGCGATGGTACGGTTTATTCAAAGATCCGGATTTCGTCGAGAAGAAGTTGGGTAAAGCAGCAAGTGAGATGGTGTTTCTGATGAATCATGAGGTTTATTCGATTAGCGTCGAAATCCATGGAATTCCAAAAGGCTCTTGGGCATCCATGGGGTTTACAGGTACACTCACCATACCCGATGATTCAGATTTGGAAATATTTCGAATCCATCACTGCAACGGTTTATTATTATGCGCCACAATGGACTGTAGACTCGTAGTTTGGAACCCCTGTACCGGTCAAATCACATGGATCAAACCTAGAATTCGTTACAATAGTGATGATATATATGCTCTAGGATGTGGTAACAACAAATCATCTGCTTTAGATAGCTACAAAATCTTGAGGTGTTGCGATGACAATCACGAAAAACCTGAGTCTGAAATCTATGATTTTAGTTCTAGTTCATGGAGGGGTCTTGATGGCGTCACTGCAAATTGTTTCATAGAATGTAATGGCGTGACTTTGAAGGAAAGTGCTTACTGGTATGCCTCAGATGAAAAAGAAACCCCCACGGGTAAATTCATACTCAGGTTTGATTTCGCAACGGAGAGATTTGCACGTCTATGTCTGCCCCTTACTTTTCAGAGGGATCGTGATAATAAGAGTGTGGTTGTGTCTGTTGTTGGAGAAGATAAACTTGCTTTGTTACAGCAGTTCGACCATAGGGTTCATGGTTTGAAATATTCTAAGATAAAGATATGGATGACCGATACTAAGATCAGTGAGGCCACACACTTGTCGTGGAGCAACTTTTTAGTCGTGGATCTTGCTGACGATAATCTACCGAGTGTAACAAGTTTCCTGTTGGACGAGGAGAAAAGAGTGGCTGTGTGTTCTGATGCAGTGTGTTCTGATCCAGACACGGAAGATGAAGATAGGAGCAGAATCTACATTGTTGGAGAAGATGTAGATAAATTCGTCTATGATGACGTTTCAACAGAAACATGGCCCAATCAGCCATTTCTCGTCAATTATATTCCAAATCTGGTTCACATTGAGAAAGATGCACCCATAGTCGAAGTGCAAAAGAAAAGGAAACGGCAAGAGGTTAGTCAAATGAATTACCTTAGTTTTTTTCTTGCTTTTCCTTTTGGTCATGTTCCTTTCAACGAGATTAGTCAATCATTGTAGGGGTTGTTTCTATTTAGCTGATAGAACTTATCTTTGTTTCTCTTGTTTGCTTTTGAAATTGGAATGATGGTGATCTAATGAACTTACTCAAATAATTTCTGTTGAGATTGGATGATTATTGAGAATAGCAGAGCATTGCCCATATATAGAGAGAAACTAAACTAAAGCATATAAGCCTCCATAATTCATACCTTGTTCCTTAGTCTTACAATATAATGCTTACCATAGCAATCAGCACATAACGATAGTGTTCTTGTCATGCAAACCTGAGAGCTATAGATTACAATTTACATATATATCTTTATTGTATTTGGTTTCTGGTTAGAGTTATCTTTAACTGGACCCGTGTGTGTGTGTGTGTGATGTTATACAGGCACGGCGAACCTGGCACTTGACAAAAGTTGTAAGAAGAGTTTGAACAGATCAACCTGACACTGTGTGCTCATGAAGAAAGCGAAGTAAAACTTAAATCAAAAACAGATTCAAATCTTGCGGTGTGACTTCTCTTCTCTATCCTTTTATATCAATAGACTGTTTTATGCGTATCAATTAGATGACTTGATATTATTAGTTTTGGGGACTCTAAATTCAACTCAAAATCAAATTTTAGTCGATATATCTTGATTAGTTAATTTCATTACTATTGGTTTTGAGATTACTTGTCAGTAGTTTATTGTTTTTGGAATGATCAGAATATACACGAATATAATAGCCTGAACAAAAGTCTTCATATAATAATTACTATTACAAATTCAAATGTGGAAATTAGCAGCCACTAAAATACCAATATACTTGCGTATAAAGATTAAAGAGTTTAGTTGGCGATGGTGAGGAGGACTCGTCATAACTTACAAACCAAGAAAAACGATAATGGGCTTATAATAATAAAAGCCCAATATATATGTTCATATCCTTGAGAGCTGATATGAGAAATGACGAAAAGGACGATGATGAAGATTCCCAATCTTCCAGACGAATTGGAATCGGAAATACTCTGCAGGGTTCCGGCGAAGTCTCTAACGAAATTGAAAACTACTTGTAAAAGATGGTACGCTTTGTTCAGAGATCCGAGATTCGTGAAGCAGAACTTGGGTAAATCAGCGAGGGAAGTGATGTTACTGATGAATCATATGGTTCACTCAATTAGCGTCAATCGCCATGGAATTCACGACGGAGTTGATCCATCTATGGAGTTTTCAGGTAAACTCATCAGGCTAAGTGATTCGAAAGATGTCAAAGTATCTACAATCTTTCAGTGCGAGGGTTTGGTATTATACAATCTTTCATTCCGATGGCGTGAGACGTTGTTAAGAAAATTCTGAGAGGAACCTGAGTAATCAAGTAATTGTTATGATTTGTTGTAAATTCCACCTAAATCTCACTTATAACCATGTAATTTAGGTATTTGTATTTTTAACTAGGAAAATTCTCTAACCACAACTCACTAAAAATCCAATACTTAATTTTTGTTCCCAGTAACAATGGATTTAGATAAGTTTAATAACTCCCTTACTTTAAGTTTCTTATTTGCTTATTTTAACTTTAATCTAAAACTAACTAAAATCCTTGATTCAATAATCATGATAAGATAAAGTTGTCTCATTTGTCTAATAGGAAAATATAAATAGCTTCTCTTCTCCTATATAATATATTGATCATAACAAATCTAACCTTAATTAAAGTCATAATAAAGATATAGTTTCTCTTCTCTTAAAGTCATTTACACTCTAATACAATGTTTTCAATAACAGTGGATTTTAAAGTACAAATCAATAGTTCAATCAATGACACTGGATTTTTTATAAAAAATCCATGATTTTGAGTAACATAAAATTTGTTATTATAAAATCACTTTTGGATACACCATCTTAATTTTTTTCTCTGTCTTTTCCTTTTTTAGGAGCTTTTGTCTATGCCGTATTTGTGCATGCACTATTATATAGGGAGGTCAGACAAGAATCACAAGAGATAAACAAACAATGATGTTTGCTTATCTTCCAAGTGATTTAGAATCCGAAATACTCTCTAGGGTTCCTGCCACATCTCTAAAAGAATTGCAAACTACTTGCAAACGATGGTACACTTTATTTAGAGATCCAAGATTCGTCAAGAAGAACTTGGGTAAAGCAGCAACACATGTGATCTTAAATGATCTTCAGGGTTATCCAGTGACAGAGATGAATACTCTGATTCATAGCATCAATCTCCGTGGAATCCAAAACAGCTTTGATCCATCCATTGGGGTCGAAGTTAAACTTAACAAGCTAACGGATCCAGAACATGATAAGATACGTGTTATTATTTCTCACTGTGATGGTTTATTATTATGCACTACCAAGGAAAATAGTAGTAGACTCGTGGTTTGGAACCCTTGTACTGGTCAAACCAGGTGGATCCAATCCAATAATGGTATGTTCATGAACAATTATGTTCTAGGATATGTAAACAACAACAACATTAACAAATCTTGCCGTAGTTACAAAATCTTGGCTTATGACTATCTTCTCACCTCCCTAGCTTATTCTCTTGCTAAGTTTGAAATCTATGAGTTCAACTCTGATTCATGGAGAATTCTTGATGAGATCTCTCCTGATTGTTTCAGACGTTCCGGTGGCGTGACTTTGAAGGGAAATGCTTATTGGTTTGCTTCAAATATAGAAAGCAAATCCATACTCAAGTTTGATTTCACAACAGAGAGATTCAGACGTCTATCGCTTCTTTTTCAGAATAATTATCAAAGTGTGTTTCTATCAGTTGTTAAAGAAGAAAAACTTGCCTTGATACAACAAAGGTTTGATACAGATTCATTAAAGATGAATATATGGGTGACCAAAACTAAGATCGATGAGGACAAAGACTTGTCTTGGAGCAACTTCTTAGTAGTGGATTTTGGTAAATTTCCGTTAACAAGTGAGACGTTGAGTTTCATGAGTTTCTTGGTGGACGAGGAGAATAAAATGGTCGTGTGTTCTTCAGAGATTGGTCACATTGAAAAGAATATTAGAATTTACTTTGCTAAAGAGGGTATACAAGTTCATCAAAAGATTGCACGTAAACCCAAAGGTTGTTGTCCATTTCTCGTCAGATATGTTCCAAGTTTGGTTCAAATTCAGTGAGGTAATTTAAGTAATCCTGCATGTAGATGAAAAAAGATATTAATCAATTTAATTACCTAGTATTTTTTTATATTGATATTGTTAATCGTAAAATATGGTTGATTCTGTTTAGTTTATAATAAACATAGTAGCTGAATTTTTTCTTTGCTTTTTATTTTTTATTTTTCTGTATCATTCTTTACTTTTGAAATTACATTTTGGTGATCTTTCTCAATTACATTCTGGTTTCTCAAATACGTTGTTGATAACAATCCTCGGTAACTTGTTCATAAAGACAGTATGTGTAAGCATATGAATACCGAAAACAAAACACTAAAAGAGTAGTATAAGAAGGTTAGTGAAAATATGATTTCATTGCAACTTGTAAAGCTCCCTATGTTTCAAATCGCTTTATTGAAGTCTTGCAGAACATATCTCCTCAAGCCCTAAAGTTGTGACATTCATTGTAATTATATCTCCAACACAAATATCTATGTATCTGTAGTATCCATATATGTTCATGTTGTTTCATGAATTACATCGGCTTTCATTTGTTCCATAAAAAAATGGAATTATGGGTGACCAATAAGATTGAGACAAATCATTGGTATGTATTGATGATATACTGTACCCAAACAACTTCATCAAGAGTTTGTACAAGAACCAGCGGATTATTGGCCACTTCTCGTCAGTTATGTTCCAAGTTTGGTTCATATACATGATGCAAAAGAAAAGGAGATTAGTCAATTTAGTTACCTAGTATCTTTTTAAACGAGATTAGTCAATTAGTAAAACAGAGTTGATAATAAACATAGTAGCTGAATTCTCCTTTACTTTTGACATTTGATGTTGGTGATCTTACTCAAATACATTGTTTGTGACTGCTTAAATGCTTAGTAAGTTGTCTATCATCGTCAACTTTTTCATAAATATGTTTACGTATATATATACCGAAAACAAAAGTGAAAAGCTAAGAAGGTTAGTGAAATTGAGATAAATCATGGTATTGTTGTTTGTAATTGCACAAGAAAGCAGAATACAAACACTTTTGAACGACGATTAGCAACAAGTAAAATTTAGCAAGTAGAAACGTCGTATCTTTCGAATTAGTGTTCTATGTTATGAGTATTTATTCATTTATAAAATTCTTGATTGCTATGTCTTTATGTATAGTGTGATGTTAAAATTACAAAAACAAAATTATATAAACCAACAATAAAAAAAAAAATTGGCATATATAAGGCTTCCTTAAAAGGCCTTATCAAGTGATGGCCCATACATAATTTCTATAACAGTAGCAGTAGTAACGAAACGTCCCATTTCACTAGTACATTGACAGAAAAAGAAACGCCACGTAGTACATTAATAGCTTCAGCCTTCAGTACTGTTCCCGCCTAAAATCATTACTATGTAGCAAAAGCAAATCGTCTCCCACTTCTTCCCCAAATCCGAAACCCTAACATTTCTCTCCGCAAACACAGCAACGCTTCTATGAAGGACGGTGATCTCTCCTCTGGTTCAGGTCAAATTTCATTACTCTTGCCCCTTAATTTCTAGGGTTTCTTCTTCGTTTACAGTTTCCGAATCTGTCTATGGATCTACTGATTTTAGTTTTCCACTACCTTTGTGTTACAATTTTCCTCTGAAATTCTGAATACATAATGAGATCTTGATAATATTGCATCATCTGCATTTTCTAGATGCGAAGAAGAAACAAAAACTGGAAGATTCTGAGGTGATTGTGGTGGATAATCGAATTCCTTCACAGGCAGAGAAAGAGAAAAAATGTCTGAGAGGTTTAGCAGAGTTACTCATTCGTATCGCTCGTACGAGTCCTCACTCTTTTATGCAGCATTTGGGCCCGTTCTTGCCTTTTGGTGTTTCTCAACTCGAGAAAGAAGTTCTCAAGGTACACAAAGAACGTAAAGACAAGGTCAAGAAATTTCTCAAAGGTTTTCAAGGGAATCTTACTATCTCTTATGATGTGGTGACTTATGATGATGAATATGAGTATGGCAGTGATTCCGAAGATGGACTTGTTTGGCACAAGGATTTCGTCTGTATGAGTGTCCATTTTGTTGATCATACGTCCAAGGTCGGGAAATGGATCTTGGGGTACTATCCTATCGAGTTTGCACGCGGTGATAAAGTCTCTGTTTGCAGAATCAAGAGTGTTCTTGTGGATTATGAGATTGAGAACAAGGTCTCTGCTCTTCTAGTGTCTAACTACGGTGATCTTGGTCATGAGGAGTTTGATTGTTTAAGAAAATGGATAGAAAAGAGAGGGAAGAATCCGATTGATCCTTGTTTCTTCCGCATCTATTGCTGCGCTGATCTTTTCCGGTTAATGGCTGGTGATGTGTTTGACAATATGGACTTGCTTCTAGAGGAGATCAGGGTGTTGGTTGGTTGGGGAAAAATGACATCAACCAACTGGAACGTCTCTTTGGGTAATCTTCAAGAAGCTTTAAATATGGAAGATAAGAAAGTATTTGCTGAGGATGAGTATTACCAGGATTATGACCTACCATGTGATGAAGATTGGATAATGATTCGAACTTTTTGCAAACTTGCTGGTTGCATATATAAAGTGGCAAAGGAACTTTTCGAGGGAGAGTATTCGACATCTAATGTCTACTTCCACCTTCTTGCGGAGCTGAAGTTTATGTTGAAGCAAGAGCTCGCAAGTGCTGATAATGACCACTTCCTCTGCAAAGCTAATGAGATATTGGAGAGGTTTGATAAGTACTGGAATGATATGTTCCTTGTTTTGGCAACTGCTTCTGTTTTAGACCCTCGGTTCAAGATGAAGTATCTTGAGCTTTACTGCTCAAAGAAGGAAGTTAATGATGGAGGTTCAAAAGCTGAAACTGTTTTGGACTACTTACACAATCTATTTGCTGATTATGCAGCTCCTGATATCCCTCCAGCAACAGAATGCCTGGATACTACAGTTGACTCGATTTTCTATAGCTCAGAAGAAGAAGAAGAAAAAGAAAGTGAAGAAGAGGAAAGTGATGAAGAAGATGAAGAATGTGGTGAAGAAGAAGGTGAAGAAAGTGATGAAGAGGAAAGTGATGAAGAATGTGCGGAAGAAGAAGGTGAAGAAGAAGAACAGAAGGTCAAGGAAGAGAAGAAGCCTGGTGCATACGAGGATTTCGCTTTCTTTCAAGAGTTTCTCAAGTTTGAAGGATCGGCAAGAGAGTTTGGTGAATCAGAACTCGATTCCTATCTCAAAGAGCCGGTTATGAAGTGGAACAAAGACTTCAAAGCACTGAAATGGTGGAAAGCAGAGAGCCAAAAGTATCCAATTCTCTCCCAAGTAGCTCGTGACATTCTCTCCATACCAATCTCACGCGCCACTTCATATGACGCTTATGTTGCTGACAGAAGGGAGTGTCCTAAATTTGTTGTCTCCATGAAAGCCGAACTTGTGAACGCCATGATGTGCAGCAAAAGCTGGTCACGACTTTGATCTGCCAAGATTTGTAACAACAAGAAAGAGCTTTGGCCTTGCTGTGAAACTCATATTTCTGTACCTTTTTTCATTTAGTCCGTTTTCCATTTCTGTATCAGTAACATTGAGAACCTTGTTTTAATTAAAATCAAAACTCTCTAGTCCACTTTAGATTAGATGCGACGTTTCATTTGAAATTTCTTTGATCAAACTTTTGTTTTGCTCATACTCAAGAAATTTGAAATTTCATATTTGGTATCTTGGGTTGTTGTTAGGCAAAGTTAACATTTTTCTTTCACAGAATCGAAATATAATCAATCGAAACAATCTCATCCGTCCTCTCCATTCATTATCGACCGTCCGATCCACCGCCTCGATAATTAATCCCTAAAAAGAAACGATAATATCCAATAACAAGAAGCCACGTGTGTATTATTAGCTCTAGCAGCATTCCCGCCGAAATGATAAACCCTAAATAAGATCCTTGAAATATTTAGTTAGGCATTGAAAATCGGAATCGTCACTTCCTCCTTTAAAACAAAAAAAAGAAAGAAAACCCTAATCCTCTCTCCGTACACTTCTTCTCCTCCAAACTGCTACAACGTTGCTATGGACAATGGTGGCTTCTCTTCAGGTTCTAATTTCTTCTCCTCTTTTTCATTTCAATGTCACCGGAAAAAGGTTTTGTCTGACCCTGATAGATAGATCTAAATTCTAGGGTTTGTTCTGTTCGGATCTGTATTTTATGAATCGACTCGTATGTCTTATATGTAGTGATTCTATTATGGTTTTGAGAGTGTGTATCAATATACTAATATGGTTCTCTTTTTAGATATGAGGAAGAAACTAAAGTTGGACGATTCTGTTGTTGTTGATGAGGAGAAAGAAGCTCATAACGCTATGGCCAAGTGGTTCATTGCTACTGATGTTAATCCTAATACCATTAGGACCCGTTCCTTTGCAAAGTTTATGAGCTTCCTCGACCCCAAGTATCCTCCTAGTGTTTCTAAAGTCGAGAATGAAGTTTTTGAGATCTACGAGGAATGTAAAGAGAAAGCTAAGAAATTTTTCAAGGGTTTTCAAGGACAATTAACCCTCTCTTATGAATGGGTGATGCTTGGGAATGGCTGGGGGGCTAGGGATCACATAAAAGGCCCTGTTTTGCATGAGGATTTCGTCTGTTTGACTGCTCATTTCGTCGATGATAACTGGAAGGTCAAGAAAAGGATCTTGGGGTACAATAACATTACTGACCAGGATATACCTGAGGAAGATGTTTATGTTTACTGTTTTAAGAACGTTGTTCAGGATTTTGAGATTGAGAACAAGGTCTCTACTCTTCTACTTCCTAACAGTGAGGGTTTTGATGAAGAAACGTTAGATCCTTTCAGGAAATGGATAGAGGAGAGAGGGAACAATCAGTTCAATCCTCGGGTTTTGCTACTCTATTGTTGCTCTGATCTTTTCCGGTTAATGGTTGATGATTTGTTTACTGAATTAAGCTCCTCGCTGCTAGAGGATTTGCGTATGTTGGTTGGATGGGGAAGATGTTCAGCAACCAACTGGAACGTCACGTTGTATCATCTGCAACAAGCTGTAGACTTGAAGTCTGAGGATGCTTTCTCAAAGGATGAGATTTACGATGATTATGACAAACCATCTGATGAAGAGTGGATTAAGATTCAAACTTTTTGCAAACTCACTGATTGCATCTATAAAGTGGCCAAGGAGCTTTTCGAAGGAGAGTATTCGACATCTAACGTCTTCTTCCACCTTCTTGCAGAGCTGAAGGTAATGTTGAACCAAGAGCTTGCAAATGCTGATAGTGATTACTTTCTCAACAAAGCTAAGCAGATATTAGAGAGGTTTGATAAGTATTGGAACAATATGTTTCTGGTTTTGGCAACTGCTTCTGTATTGGACCCTCGGTTCAAGATGAAGTATCTTGAGTTTTACTGCTCAAAGAAGGAAGTCAATGTTGAAGGTCCCAAAGCTGCAACTGTTTTGGACTATTTACGCAATCTGTATGCTCGCTATGCAGCTAGTGATATCTGTCAGAAACCTATATGCTCGGTTGCTTCAATTGACTCTGAAGAAGAAGACGAAGAAGAAGAAGAAGAAGACGAATATGATGACGATGAAGGAGAAGAAGAAGATGATGAAGATGAAGGAGAAGAAGAAGAAAAAGATGGCAATGAAGAAGAAGAAGGTAAAGAAGAAGAACGTAAGGACAAGGAAGAGAAGAAGCCTGATGCATACGAGAGTTATGTTTTGTTTCAAGAATATCTCAAGTTTGAAGAGTCTCCAAGAGAGCTTGGTGAATCAGAGCTTGATTCCTACCTCAAAGAGCCGGTTATGGAGTGGAACAAAGACTTCAAAGCGTTGGAATGGTGGAAAGAAGAGAGCCAAAAGTATCCAATCCTCTCCCGAGTAGCACGTGACATTCTCTCAATTCCAATCTCACGTGCTACTTCGTACGATGCTTATGTTGTGGACAGAAGAGAGCCTCCTGAGTTTGTTGTCTCCATGAAATCCAAAGTTGCTAACGCCATGATGTGCAGCAAGAAATGGTTGAGAGTTTGACGATAAAGACAAAATTGGTAAGAAGATCCTTCTGTTTTTTCACTAGTAAGAACTTAAAATGCTTTTGTGGCCTTTATGAAACTCAATATCTCTGCTTTCCGTTTTAGTACTTTCGTTTCCCATTTCTACATCAGTAAACATGTTTCTTTTCAATGAATTTTCTTGTTAAGTTTTTATGAAATCACTCAATATTTCTGTTAAGTATTACTCCATTTTCTTTGTTCAAACCATTTTTTCGCAAACCAAGACAACAAACACTTGAATACTTTTTATTCTCTTAGATATACCAAAATTCATTACTAAGGAAATATTGGGATTTTTGTAGCTAGAGAAAACCAGTTCATAGTAAAAAATAAATTAATAAGTACCATTTTTATTTCGCAAAATCGAAACATATTATTCAAAATAACTCATCCGTCCACTGCATTCATTATTAACCGTCCGATTAACCACCTCGATGATCAATCCCCGAAAAAAAGAAACAACCAAGAAAAGAAGGCCACGTAGTAAAAAGCTCCAGTAGTATTTCCCGCGTAAATCATACTAGTAAAATATCCTAGAAAAAAGCTTTTGGCATTGGAAACCGGAATCGTCTCTTCTTCCTTAAAACGAAAACCCTAATTCCTCTGTCCGTACCGTTCGTCTTCCCCAAACAGCAGCAACATTGCTATGGACAAAGGCGATCTCGCCTCCGACTCTTGTTCAGGTTCTAATTTTTCCCCTTTTCCATTTCAGTCCAGAAATGTTTTGTCTGACCCTGATAGATAGATCTACTTGTACTGTTTTGTCGTTGCTTTTTTCCGATTTGACCCCTAATTTCTAGGGTTTCTTCTGTTCCACTCTCACTTATCATGATTTTACTTTACGATTTTGTGAATCTATGTGTACGTCTGCATATATGCTTCTATATGGCTGTGTTATCTGATTTCACTCTCTATTACATATGGTTTATTTTCTCCGGGCTCATGTGTTTTGAATGTGTGTATTTTTTAGATATGAGGAAGAAACTAGAGTTGGACGAATCTGTGGTCGATGAAAAGGAGGTGGTGGATGAGAAAACATTTCATAATGCTATGGCTAGGTGGTTCATTTCTGATGGGATTAGTCCTAATATCATTACGAGACCCTCCTGTGCAAAATTTATCTACTGCCTGAGCCCGAATTTTCCTCCTAGTGTTTCTCAAGTCAACAAGGAGATTCTTGAGATACACGAAGAATATAAAGAGAAAGCTAAGAAATTTCTCAAGGGTTTTCAAGGCCAGTTAACTCTCTCTTATGAATGGATGGTTCTTCGCGATGAATGGACCAGGGATTACGTTAAAGGTCCTGTTTTGCATGAGGATTTCGTCTGTTTGACTGCTCATTTCGTCGATGATAACTGGAAGATGAAGAAATGGATCTTGGGCTACACTACTGACAAGAAAGTACCTATTGAAGATGTTAATATTTACCCTTTTAGGGATGCTGTTCAGGATTTCGAGATTGAGAGCAAAGTCTCTACTCTTCTACTGCCTGTCGATTTGGATTTTGATGAAGAAACTTTAGAACCTTTCAGGAAATGGATAGAAGAGAGAGGGAATAATCCGATCAATCCACGGGTTTCCCTACTCTATTGTTGCACTGATCTTTTCCGGTTAATGGTTGATGATGTGTTTGATGACTTAAGCGGGTCGCTACTAGAGGATGTGCGTATGTTGGTTGGATGGGGAAGATTGTCACCTACTAATTGGAACATCAGTTTGTCTAATCTGCAACGAGCTGTAGATATGAAGAATGACGATGAATTCTCAAAGGACGAGGATTATGATGATTATGACAAACCATCTGATGAAGATTGGATTAAAATTCAAACGTTTTGCAAACTCGCTGGTTGCATCTACAAGGTGACAAAGGAGCTTTTCGAGGGAGAGTATCCAACTTCTAACGTCTTCTTCCACCTACTTGCTGAGTTGAAGGTAATGTTGAACCAAGAGCTCGCGAGTGTTAACAATGATTACTTCATCGGCACAGCTAAGCAGATATTGAAGAGGTTTGATAGGTACTGGAACAATATGTTTCTGGTTTTGGCAACCGCTTCTGTATTAGATCCTCGGTTCAAGATGAAGTATCTTGAGTTTTACTGCTCAAAGAAGGAAGTCAATGTTGAAGGTTCAAAATCTGAAACTGTTTTGGACTATTTACGCAATCAATGTGCTCGCTATGCAGCTATCGAAATCTATCAAAAACCAATATGCCCGGTTGCTACAATTGAGACTGACTCCGAAAAAGAACACGATGATGAAGGAGAAGAAGATGATGATGATGAATATGATGATGAAGGAGAAGAAGATGATGAGGATGAATATGATGATGAAGGAGAAGAAGAACAATATGACAATGAAGTAAAAGAAGAACAGAAGGACAAGGAAGAAAAGAAGCCTGATGCATACGAGGAGTTTGTTTTGTTTCAAGAATACCTCACGTTTGAAGGATTTCCAAGAGAGCATCATGAATCAGAGCTTGATGTCTACCTCAGAGAACCGGTTATGGAGTGGAACAAAGACTTCAAAGCATTGGAATGGTGGAAAGAAGAGAGCCAAAAGTATCCAATCCTCTCCCGAGTAGCTCGTGACATTCTCTCCATTCCAATCTCACGTGCCACGTTGTGGGATGCTTATGTTACGGACAAAAGAGAGCCTCCTGAGTTTGTTCTCTCTTTGGAACCCAAGATCACTAACGCCATGATGTGCACCAAAGATTGGTTAAGCCTTTGATGATCGATCATGGCAAATTTGGTAAGAAGTTCCTTCTAATATGAACTTAAAATGCTTTTGTAGTCTTCATGAAACTCAATATCTCTGTGTTTCCCTTTTAGTACTTTCGCACGTTTCCCATTTCTATATCAGTAACATGTTTCTTTTGAAGACTTATTTTGGTTAAATTAATATGAAATTTCTCATTATTAATTACTAATTTTGCTGAATTAATTTTAAATAATTCACAAATTTTGAGAAGGTGAAACTAATGTCTCCAAATTTAAAAAGTTAGTATAGTAAAGAGATAAGATGCTTAAGTATCAATTCGCGCTTTGCTTTGTCTGTCCAAAGTATAAGTGTCATTCACCTTAATAGTTGTTACTAATATACAAAGTCTACAAAGTTTATGCATATAAAACTCAAAAGTTTATGCAAATAAAACCCAAAATTATTTGAATTCTAAATAGAAGTTTTTTTGTTTGTCTACTCATGTTTGAAAATGTTTAATTTTTCCAAGAGATATAACCAGTTAAAGAACCATGTGTATTGCGGCGGTGTATTGGTAAAGAGGCCAAACTGGTTGAAAGGTTGCAGTCACTCATGTTTCCCACGTGTTGCTCACTAGTCACCATTAGACAAGTTAAATATTCATTAATCTTTGTCTTAACTGGTATTTAACACTTATTTAAAATTGGTTTGACACATTAGTGTGAACACAAGCATTTTAAAACACCTATATGTATAGGTATTTACAATAAGATATTTTTACCAGAAATGTATAAAATAAAATAAGTTTATTACATTTGTCATAAATCATATAAATAATTTTATACCAAAAATATTTATATATTCTCAACATATCAAGGTAAACCTAATTTGCGTTTTCTTTTTTGTAATTTATCCAAAATTAAAATGCGTCCAACCAAAGCTTCAGTGACTCAAACATGGCTGCTTTACACACAGCTTTGTCTTTGGAAAGATCTCATAATCAGCTATGTCCGTCACTTCATTAGAAGAGCAAAATCGATGCTTTTGAGTCAAAACATGGTCGCTGATTCTGCTGAGATCAGTGTTATCGATGTCAAGTCTCATATCTCCGTTGGGAAAGATCCTAGTAACTTTCAGATTGCCGAAATTCGAATTCATGATTCAATTTGTATTGAGATTCCGAGCTCTGAAGAAACGCCTCTTTTAGGATCGGTATGTGTTTGGGTTTTGTTTCTTTTCTCTTTTTTGTAATCTCAATTTTGCTACTTTTGAGTTTTTAGGACTCTGTGCCATTGCAGATTCTCCGATGAATTCGAAGTTAGGATTTGAATTGAATTGGATTGATAAAGTCTTATTCTTTGATATTTCCGCTTGCTCGTTTAGTCATGGATTTGAATTTGGGTTTTTTGATCATCACCGTGATGCTTAACAATAGTCAATTTTGCATCAATACTTGATTTAATTTTAGTTTTTTGTGGATCAAATGTTTGTTCTGATTTGTGAATTCTCTGTTGATTCTGTGATGTTGTGAAGGAGAAGAACAACTAAACACTAAACAAGCTCTTCTTATGTTACTTTTTCTTCAAACAGGTCAAGAGTTGTTCTGCAGCTGCAACGATTGTTGAAGAGCCTGTTACTGAGTTTGTCCCAAATATAAGCTCTGGGAGTTATGCGGATAAGGGTGACTACCGGGAGTACATGGAAGATGAACACATATGCATAGACGACCTTTCAGATCATCTTGGGTCTTCCTTCTATAGATTTCCGGTGCCTATCGCTTTCTACGGTGTGTTTGATGGCCATGGTGGATCTGAGGCATCACAGTATATAAAAGAGAATGCAATGAGATTGTTTTTTGAAGATGCTGTTTTTCGAGAATCGCCCTCCGTTGTGGACTCTCGTTTCTTGAAAGAACTGGAAAAATCTCACCGGGAAGCTTATAGGCTTGCTGATCTCGCCATGGATGATGAAAGAATAGTTAGTAGTTCGTGCGGAACAACCGCATTGACCGCTCTTGTAATCGGAAGACATTTAATGGTCGCTAATGCTGGCGATTGTCGTGCAGTGCTCTGCAGGAAAGGAAAGGCTGTTGATATGTCATTTGATCACAAATCTACATTTGAGCCAGAACGGAGACGGGTAGAGGATTTAGGAGGGTACTTTGAAGGAGAGTATCTCTACGGTGACCTTGCTGTTACAAGAGCTCTTGGAGACTGGTCAATAAAGAGGTTTTCACCTCTTGGTGGATCTTTCTCACCTCTGATCTCAGACCCGGACATTCAACAGATGATTCTAACCGAGGAAGACGAATTCTTGATTATGGGATGTGACGGTGTTTGGGATGTGATGACAAGTCAGTATGCTGTTACTTTCGTCAGGCAAGGACTCAGGAGACACGGTGACCCAAGAAGGTGCGCTATGGAACTTGGAAGGGAAGCGTTGAGGCTAGACTCATCAGATAACGTTACAGTGGTGGTCATCTGCTTCTCATCATCCCCAGCTCCTCAGAGAAGAAGAATACGGTTCTGTGTTTCCGATGAAGCCCGAGCCCGGTTACAGACAATGCTAGAAGGCTAACTGATGAAGGTTTTTGAGCTGTCTTGAGGAGGGGACAATGTATATATTATAGCTACAGAGATGGGTTTTGAGATAACCCTCCCAAGGCCAAATTATTTGATGACATTATTACATCTCTCTGATATCGGATGAAATAAAAGGAAGGCAAAAAGAGAAGATGAAGGACTTCTCTATGTTGTTAAACTGTTCATAAGTGTTGTAGCCATTTTGATCTGTTTGTTTGGCTATTTATTCTGTAGGATTATTGAGCACTTATGTACAAAAACTGATAAAGATCTAAGGAATTCAGGTGATTAAGTTAATCAACTAATTCTTCCCAATTTCTTTGAAAATTGTTATCAGAGTTTTGAGTCTCTCTCTTTCATTACATCTTCACTTTGTATATGGTTTAAAGATCACTCACATATTTGTCCCATTTTGATATACTTGTGTAGTGGTTGATCATATATTTTATCAATTTTGTTCTAATGTGTATAATTAAATACTCATCTTAGATTATTAGGGTTATCATCATAATAATATGCTTAATTATGATTACCGATAATAAATAAAAGAAAAAAAATCAGGGAAAAAGCGAAGAGGTCCTTTTTGTTTTCGTCTTTATTCGACTTTTCAAGGAGCCCAAAGTCTCTCTTCTCCATTCTCTCTAAGAAAGTTCGACGGAAGAAGAACAAAACAACAACAACGATGGCGATGGCGAGCTTAGCTAGGAGAAAAGCGTACTTTCTCACCAGAAATATCTCTAATTCTCCCACTGATGCTCTCAGATTCTCTCTCTCCCTCACTCGCGGCTTCGCTTCGTCGGGATCCGACGACAACGACGTTGTCATCATCGGCGGCGGTCCTGGAGGTTATGTGGCGGCGATTAAAGCGGCGCAGCTCGGTCTCAAGACAACTTGCATCGAAAAGCGTGGCGCTCTCGGTGGTACTTGTCTTAACGTCGGATGTATTCCTTCAAAGGTGATTTTAGAAACTCCTTTTTCGATTACCTCGATTCGTCAGATTTTTCTCCGATTTTGTTTCGTCTCCTGTGAATTTTGGTTGTTGATCACCATTTAGATTCGATCTGAGGGTTAGATTGAGCTTGAGGTTTAAGAAATGATTGTGTGATGATACTTATTCATTACTCAGATCTGTTTGTGCTTGATTCCTCGGAAATGGAACTATTTGCCTTAGAATTTTTGTATCTCTTAACGAATTTTGTTCTCGTTGCATATGCTGGATCATGATCCTCACTTGATGCGTTGTCCAAAGCAAAAGTTCTATGGAACTCGCATTTTCGTAGAGCATGAATGTGATAGATGTTAATAGCATTACTTTTTTTGTTGTCTGATTGTGTTACTCTCTTCCGCAAGCTGTTTAGCTTTGATAAATATATATGACATTATCTAATTTAGCTTATGTTTTATTAGGCCCTTCTTCACTCTTCTCACATGTACCATGAAGCAAAGCACGTTTTTGCTAACCACGGTGTTAAGGTCTCTTCGGTTGAGGTAGATCTTCCTGCTATGTTGGCTCAGAAAGACACAGCAGTCAAGAATCTCACACGTGGTGTCGAAGGTCTTTTCAAGAAGAACAAGGTAAACTATGTTAAGGGCTACGGTAAGTTTCTGTCCCCATCAGAAGTCTCTGTCGACACAATCGATGGAGAAAACTTGGTTGTGAAAGGCAAACATATCATAGTTGCAACTGGCTCGGATGTCAAGTCTTTGCCAGGCATCACCATCGATGAAAAGAAGATTGTCTCATCAACTGGGGCACTGTCTCTGACAGAGATCCCAAAGAAACTCATTGTCATTGGTGCTGGCTATATTGGGCTCGAGATGGGTTCTGTATGGGGACGGCTCGGATCAGAGGTCACAGTGGTTGAGTTTGCAGCGGATATTGTACCAGCAATGGATGGTGAAATCCGCAAGCAGTTTCAACGCTCACTAGAGAAGCAAAAGATGAAATTCATGCTCAAGACTAAAGTCGTCGGCGTAGATTCATCTGGAGATGGTGTGAAACTCATAGTGGAACCTGCTGAAGGTGGAGAGAAGACCACTCTAGAAGCTGATGTGGTCCTCGTCTCAGCTGGTAGAACTCCGTTCACATCTGGACTTGATCTAGAGAAAATCGGAGTTGAGACAGACAAAGGCGGGAGAATTCTGGTGAACGAGAGATTCTCGACAAATGTTTCAGGCGTTTATGCAATTGGAGATGTGATTCCAGGACCAATGCTGGCTCACAAAGCCGAAGAAGATGGTGTGGCATGTGTTGAGTTTATAGCAGGCAAACACGGTCATGTGGATTACGACAAAGTCCCTGGGGTTGTCTACACGTACCCTGAAGTTGCCTCAGTTGGTAAAACCGAGGAGCAGCTGAAGAAAGACGGTGTAAGCTACAATGTCGGAAAATTCCCATTCATGGCCAATAGCAGAGCCAAGGCTATAGACACAGTAGAGGGACTGGTCAAGATTTTGGCTGATAAAGAGACAGACAAGATCTTGGGAGTTCACATTATGTCACCAAACGCAGGAGAATTGATCCATGAGGCGGTTCTAGCTATCAACTATGATGCATCAAGCGAAGACATTGCTCGAGTCTGTCACGCTCATCCCACCATGAGTGAGGCTATCAAGGAAGCTGCCATGGCTACCTATGACAAGCCCATTCACATGTAGAATCCCTCAGGTACAATCATGGTTTGATGTTTATTCTGTTTCGGTTGATGACTTTCTTGGTTTTCCGGGTTTTGATTTTTCTTTTGTGTTGTGTTGATGCGTATACTAGGAGATGTGGATTGAGGGAAAAGGAAGTAAAGCCGCCTACGACAAGCCAAATCGAGATTGGTTTTCTGATTTCGGTTTAAACCTTTGATTTTTAATTTTCTGGTGGATATGAGATGAGCTTAAAGAAGATACTTTTACCACTCTTTTTATTCGTTAAATCTTCTCCAGATTTTCAGTTCCGGGTTAGGCCCGACTATAGTAATAATTTGATATGCTCAATGAACCAAATGTGATTAATCAGGTTTGATCGGTGGTTTTGGCTTTGTTTTGTTGACCGATTTTTGGTGAAAGAGTATAAACCAAATTCGATATGATTTTTTCACTGTATGATTGTGTTCAGTTTGCTTCCAAATTTTGGGACATGGTGTGTTTCCTTTCATCTGTATTATGCTCTCAAGATATTTACCATTGTCATAAAAGGTTTGAAAAACGATAGTTGATTAGTAGGATAAAAATACTCAAAAGAAGATATAAAACACAGTTTGGAATCCAGACACTCATCCATAGAATTCTTATGTTTAGATTTGGGAATTGTGTATGATATGATATATATATTTATAACCCAAGATTTTGAAATCTTTTCAAAAAATAATTTCCTAAAAGTGTAAGATTTTATTTTGTTTCAAAAATGGTAATTATTAATAATTCAAAGATTTTTTTCTTAATTTATTCAATTGAATAATGGTAAATTGCTAATTATATTGAATAATTATGTATATTAGTATGCAATAAGAACCTCCCACCTCTAAGTATACGCATAATTATCCTTCCGCAACCAAGTCAATGGCTTATCCTTGCGTCAAAAGAAACGTATTTTCACTTCTTCTACTACTCGTTCTTCTATCAATCACCCCTTTGTCTTCATCTTTGTCTCCGAGTGACAAAGTCACAAAAGACTTACTTTACTACCTCTGCACACAACCGAACATTGACAGCAGCTTCTGCATCCCTTGGCTAAACTCTGATCCAACAACATTCACCCTCGACGTACAAGGTCTTCTCGATTTGGTCTTCCAAAAGACGCAATTGTTGGGCTATAAGAGCCTAGCGGCGATAAAAGGCTCAGTGAGAACCATGCCTGGTTCGACGCTCAAGATCCCATTTGAGACTTGCGTGAAAGATTATGAATCAGCCATTAAATCGATCGAGGAAGCTCAAGGGTTTGTGACCTCTAAGGCGTACCCGTTAGCATCTCAAGGGGCTGCTAAAGCCTTCATTAGTATATCAGTGTGTGAAGCTCAGTTTGAAGGACGGGCTGACGTGCCGGATTATGTAGTGAAACTCAATGTGTTTTTTAAAAGAATGTGTAACATTGATAGGGTTTTCTCCAACGCTTTGACTTCTTGATTCCTTGCATCTTTCACCTACAAGATGGCAGAAACTATTAAATGTCATTCACTCTGTTGTAGTAACTTAAAAACCAATAAATGAATAAATTCTTAGTCAACTGTTGGAGTAAATCTTAGCTAAGAATGAAAAAAACTTTCTCTCGTTACTTCTGGTGTAAATTTATGACAATTATATATCCACATAACCTTAAAAATTTGCCTCGACTAAAACTTTCTTAGTGCCAAAAATCATGAACACATATTTGTGAATGCACTTCCCACATCTAATGTATACGCATAATTATTCTCCACTGTTAAGTTTTCAATATCGATACCTTTATTCCTTAACCAAACGAGTACACACCACGAGAGAGACTAGCACATCACTAGCTCAGCTCCCAAAACACCATACGAGAGAGACTAGCACATCACTAGCTCAGCTCCCAAAACACCATACGAGAGAGACTAGCACATCACTAGCTCAGCTCTCAAGTCTCTCATGCGAGACTCACACAAGATTCAACAACAATCAACATGAACCTCTCTAAACATTTAGAGCCAGTATTTATACAAGAACAGAGTTTGTTAAAGATATTTTTAGATCCTAAAAATATCTTCTTCTTCAAGCAAGCTTCCTTCTCACGTGTCTTCTTTTGCTTTGTCTCGCATTCACATTCTTCTTGATACACCAATCGTATCATCCACATCCAAGACAATGGCTATTCCTTGCGTCAAAAGAAACGTATTTTCAATTCTTCCTCTTCTCGTTCTTTTATCAATCACTCATTTGTATTCATCTTTGTTTCATCTTTGTCACCGATCGAGTAACAAAGTCACAAAAGAGTCACTGTACCAACTCTGTCAAAACAGACAATTTACAACCACTTCTGCATCGCTTGGCTAACTCTGATCCAACAACGTTCACCCTCAATTTAAGGCAGGAGGAGGGGAGCTATTCATCAGCTCAGATCAAAACCAGCTTCTGCGCTTATGGCATACATCAATTTGGTCTCAAGTAGCTCTTTGCTGCATCATTGACAAGAAGACATGTTTAATTTGCTTTGTCCAATTACAGCAACAATTTGCAAGAGAAGATATATGATAACAAAACAAGTCTCTTTAATTGCAAGAGAATTCTTATGTTTAGATTTGGGAATTTTGTATGGTATGATATATATATAGATAACCCTCGACATGGTGCGTTTCCTTTCATATGTATTATGCTCTCAAGATATTTACCACTGTCATAAAAGGTTACAAAAACGGTAGTTGAATAGTACGATAAAAATACTCAAAAGAAGATACAAAACAAAGTTCGGAATCGGACATTCATTCATAGAATTCTTATGTTTAGATTTTGGAATTTTGTATGATATGATATATATATAATGGCTCTTTCTCGAAGAGAGTCACTTCCAATAACTTAGGGAAAAAAAAAATGATATATAACCCAAGATTTTGAAATCTTTTCAAATAAAAATTTCCTGAAAGTGTAAGATTTTATTTTTTTTTAAAAATGGCATGATTAATAATTCAAAGATTTTTTTCTAAACTTATTCAATTGAATAATAATGGTGGATTGCCAATTATATAGAATTAAAGAATAATTCCATAGAAGGTGATTAATTAGCCCCCTGAATTGTTCGTTCCCACATTAATTTGAGTCAACAATTGACTAAGAAAAACAAATTTGGGTAACATTTCATTGACTTTTGTCATACAAAAACTATGTATATTTAGTATGCAATAAGAAACTCCCACCTCTAAGTATACGCAAAATTATCTTTCCGCAGCCAAGACAATGGCTTATCCTTGCGTCAAAAGAAACGTATTTTCACTTCTTCCTCTACTCTTTCTTCTATCAATCACCCCTTTGTCTTCATCTTTGTCTCCGAGTGACAAAGTCACAAAAGTATTGTTTTACCAACTCTGCACAAAACCGAACATTGATCGCTACTTCTGCATCCCTTGGCTAACCTCTGATCCAACAACATTCGCGCTCGACCTACAAGGTCTTCTCGATTTGGTCTTCCAAAAGACGCAATTGTTCGGCTATAAGATCCTAGCCGCGATGAAAGGCTCAGTGAATACTACGACTGATCCAGCGCTCAAGATCCCATTTGAGACTTGCGTGAAAGATTATGAAGTAGCCATTAAAGCGATCGAGGAAGCTCAAGGGTTTGTGACATCTAAGGCGTACGAGTTAGCATCTCTGGGGGCTGCTAAAGCCTTCATTAGTATATCAGTGTGTGAAGCTCAGTTTGAAGGTCGAGATAATGTGCCGGTTTATGCAACGAAATTCAATTTGTTTTTTAAAAGAATGTGTAACATTGATAGGGTTTTCTCCGACGTTTTGAGAACTTGATTTTTTATGTATCTTTCACCTACAAGATGGCAGAAACTCTTCAATGTCATTCACTCTGTTGTAGTAACTTAAAAACCAATAAATGAATAAATTCTTAGTCAACTGTTGGAGTATATATCTTAGCTAAGAATGAAAACAAACTTTCATCTCTCGTTACTTCTGGTGTAAATTATGACAACAAAAATATTGTAGATCATATTTTATTGATCTAAAATGGCAACAAAAATGATATATTTTCAACGTTATAACTTATAAGTATCATCATGACCTCTTCATCATTTGTTTATGAACTGTTCTAAATTTTATTTCAAAAATTAATTAAATCATTTACAAATGGTGGATTAGGAATATGTGACATTTGAATACAGAATGCATAGATGAACAATAGTTTAATTATTTATCCATTATTTCTAATTTTCCTTTGATATTTCGAGTCAAAGATGAATGAATCAAAGAACTGAGAATTTTGAACAACAACAAAAAAAACAACTCAAGCACATTGATTTTTTATATGCACTTAATATAGCTGGACTTTTAAAAAATAATTTACAAGTCATATTTACGTTTCAAAATAGATGTATTCAACATTACTTATATATAATTTTTTATATAAAATAGTAACACATAATTCCGCACATAGTGCGGATATTCATCTAGTGTGATAAATCATGTTTGATCGTTGGTTTTTGGCTTTGTTTTATTGACTGATTTTTGGTGAAAATAGTATAAACCAAATTCGATATAATTTTTTCACTGTATGGTTGTGTTCAGTTTGCTTCAAAATTTTGGGAATGGTTCGTTTCCTTGGATATGTATTTTGTTTGTCATAAAAGGTTACGAAAACGATAGTTGAATAGTACGATAAAAAAAATACTCAAAAGAAGATACAAAACACAGCTCGGAATCTGGACACTCACTCATCCATAGAATTATTGTGTTTAGATTTGGGAATTTTGTATGATATGATATATATATAATAACCCAAGATTTTGAAATCTTTTCAAAAACAAAATTCCTGAAAATGTAAATTTTATTCTGTTCAATGATTTTCTTGTAACCCCAAGTCAAAAGTCAAAGATATTTTTCTTAACTTATTCAATTGAATAATAATGGTGGATTGCGAATTATATTGAACTAAAGAAGAATTTCATAGAAAGTGGTTAATTAAAGTCAACAATTGACTAAGAAAAACAAATTTGGGTAACATTTCATCAACAACACCAAGCTAAAACTTGACTTTTGTCGTCCAAAAACTATGTATATTAATATTAGTATGCACTGCAGTAAGAACCTCCCAGTCCCAGACAATGGCTTATCCTTGCGTCAAAAGAAACGTATTTTCACTTATTCCTCTGCTCGTTCTTCTATCAATCACCCCTTTGTCTTCATCTTTGTCTCCGAGTGACAAAGTCACAAAAGCCTTCTTATCCCGACTCTGCACAGAACCGAACATTGACACCAACTTCTGCATCACTTGGCTAATCTCTGATCCAACAACATATACCCTCGACCTACAAGGTCTTCTCGATTTGGTCTTCCAAAAGACGCAATTGTTGGGCTATAAGAGCCTAGCGGCGATGAAAGGCTCAGTGAGAACCACTACTGATCCGACGCTCAAGACCCCATATGAGACTTGCGTGAGAGATTATGAAGGAGCCATTAAAGCGATCGAGGAAGCTCAAGGGTTTGTGACCTCTAAGGCGTACCAGTTAGCATCTCAAGGGGCTGCTAAAGCCTTTATTAGTATATCAGTGTGTGAAGCTCAGTTTGAAGGACGGGCTGATGTGCCGGTTTATGTAACGAAGCTCAATTTATTTTTTAAAAGAATGTGTAACATTGATAGGGTTTTCTCTGACGTTTTGACTTCTTTTATGTATGTGTAACATTGATAGGGTTTTCTCTGACGTTTTGACTTCTTTTATGTATCTTTCACCTGCATGATGGCAGAAACGATTCAATGTGATTCACTCTCTTGTAGTAGTAACTTTAAAACCAATAAATGAATAAATTCTTAGTCAACTATTATGTCTTGCATCTTACTTAGCTAAGAATGAAACAAACTTTCACATCTCGTTACTTCTACTGTAAATCCACATATCCTTTAAAATTTTCCTACAGTAAAACTTTCTTATTGCCAAAAATCAGGAATACATATTTGTGAATGCATATCTACATAAAGAAGAGAATTCAGGAAAGTGAGTTAGAAGAATACTAATCAGATCACTATCTCTGCACTAATGCTAATTGCTAAGAATAGCAAAGTTTTTCTCTCTCTTACATTAGGACTTGTGGTCTAACTAAGAATCAGAAAGAGCAACAACCCATTCCAAGAATTTCTATTATTAGTTCTAGTGGAAGCAATCAATCTCAAGTATCTATAAATATGTATACTCAGGCATAGTAAGGAAATACATCCTCTACCAACGAAAAAAAAGAAAGAAAGAAGCAAAGATGGCAGCATACCTGATGAACGTTTTTGTGTTTTCTCTGATGTTGTTTGTAATGATTGGTTCCTTGAAAGCACAAGTAGCAGACATAAAAGCGATATGCGGAAAAGCGAAAAACCAATCCTTCTGTACGAGCTACATGAAATCCAACCCAAAGGCCTCAGGTGCTGATCTTCAAACGCTAGCAAAGATCACCTTTGGTTCTGCACAAACAAGTGCATCAGAAGGTTTCAAGAAAATTCAATCCCTAGTCAAGACAGCAACCAACCCCACTATGAAGAAAGCATACACCTCGTGCGTACAACATTATAAGAGTGCAATCAGCAGTCTCAATGATGCTAAGCAGAGCCTGGCGACAGGCGATGGAAAAGGGCTGAACATTAAGGTTTCAGCAGCTATGGAAGGACCTTCAACATGTGAACAAGACATGGCGAATTACAAAGTAGATCCTTCAGCTGTGAAGAACAGTGGTGATTTTCAGAATATTTGTGGCATTGTTCTTGTCATCTCAAACATGATGTGAGAGTGGGCTTGATTCAATCTCCCTTCATAACTCGTTAGACAATTACATTAAACAATTATACCTGCATATTTACTTGTACAATAAAAGAACTTTTGTCTCAGAAATAATCTGAAATCAAACACTCTTCATTATCAAGTAAACTCATGATCTTTTACACATCAAGTCTAATAAAACAGAAGGAAACCAAAAAAAAAGAAAGAAAGATAGAAGAAATTCACACAGAAACATGAGAAGAATGCAGGAAAACCAAAGGCCAGCATAACTCAAATGGAAATTACTTTATTCGACATGATAGCAAGAGACATACATACCCGAGAAAAAAAAGATGAAAGAGGAAAATGGTGCTGCAACATAATTAGAGAGAGACAGAGGTAGGCTTGTAGTCAATAACCAATACTTTATCCAAGCTGCCAAGGAAGATGGTGGCGAATTCAACGTGAGCAGGATGAGCAATGTACTCTGCAACAGCTTCTTTGCTCTCAAATGTGGATTCAAAGATGTGAGTGTAACCTTGATGCAGATTCTCTATGCTCACATCTTCTCCCCTAAAATTATAGAATAAATCAGTAAGACAAGAGCAGATTCTCGCGAAATCATTGATTCTTTTCAAAAGATCATCAATGGAGATGGATTCTCTATCTAAGGAAATTAGATCAACAAATGTTAGTAATTAACTCAATTTCCCCCAATTGCATAGTTTAAGAATAACGTTCTACAAAATCATATTCAGTAGATGATTAGTGCTTTATGGATCTCGAGCATATTTCTAACACTAGGAAGCAATTCAGATCTAAATTTACTGACCAGTGGAAATCTTTCATAGGTTCGATGAGATTGACGAGATTGGCGTAACCTTTGATAAGCTCTTCGATTTTCTCAGAGCTAACGCCATCTTTGAACTTAGCAAGCAATACGTGCTTCACAGGTCCCTTAGCTTCCTCCATTTTTGATCCTTATCTCCTCTGCGATCTCCACTGATCTCTCTCTTAAACTCTCAACTCTCAAGTCTTGACTAAAAATGGACGGTCAAGATCTTTCATTAAAAGAGCGCGTTTGTGACGTGCAAAAATCATAATAACAGTGAAAAAATCTAAAAATATACTCTTAGTCTCTTACCAGTAACTTGTATATAGTTTAATCTTTATAGGTCGAAGTAACTTAATTAATCAACCTTTTAATCATGCTTGACGAAAAAGAGACTCCAAGCCAAAAACTCTACAAGATATGGGTAGATGATGCAAATAATTTACAAATAATCATATAATGTTGTTATATGTAACATGCATTAGTTAAGCAAAATCATTTACAGCATTTGAGTTCCAATTGAGACCAGTCTTATTTACCATTTATTTTATTGAATTTTAAACCCAATACAAACTCTCCAAATAAGACTTCCCTGTTATCACTTTTTTTTTTGTCACATTTTTTAAGCGAATACCCGAGGGCTGCAAATGAAACCCATTAGTTAAGTAATCTCTAGTACATGTTCCACTTCTAGATCCGTCTCTTAGATGCTTACTGCTTAGAGCCAACAAGCCTGCCTCAGTCTACAGGTAACCGGTTTATACCATAACCAAGGAACGGTCGGAAAAAGGGTGTCAACTTTGGTCCATGCAAGTCTGTCTTTAAGGCTCAGCTCAGATCAAAACCCGCTTCTGCGCTAATGGCGTACATCAATTTCGTCTCAAGTAGTTCTTTGCTGCATCATTGACAATAAGACATATTTAATTTGCTTTTCTCCAGTTACAGCACCAATTGCAAGAGAAGCTATTTGGTAACAAAAACACGTCTTTTGACTGAGCAAAACCAAAGAGATTGTGCTATGAGAGGACAAACCTTTGATAAGGCGGAAGCTTAAGAAGATTCATACAAGTGGCTGATGTCGGTAGTCTATCAACTGATTCATTACTCGCACTACCGGCAGCCCTGAAACAAATTTTAAACAAGGATGGCTCTTTTATGATTCCAAAGCCAATCAAAAGTCAAAACGTTTTGAGTCTGTGTAAGTTACCTCTGTATGCAGAATGCAGGTTCCAAGTATTTGAAACCGAGCAATGGTCCTCGTGAACAGCCCGTCACAAACCTGAAATTGAAGATGATAAGAGGTACCTCTTAGTTCTCTTAAAGAAAATAAATAGACTCCGGTAATCATTGGGTACACAGACTGTAGCAACTGCAAAGTTGGCTTACTTTAAGAACTTCTTCTGGTTTTCAGTTGAGAAGCTTTTCATAACTTCCCAAAACATATCGATCACATAATGTCCCTGTCAAGAACATAGCGATGTAATCATATAACAATGTTCCAAAAGTATCCCTACACTAATTCACAATGGCATTTCGGCTGACAGTGAAGAACCACTCACCGCGTGGTAGCCTCCAGCATAATTAGTGTTGTTTCGCAAGTCGTCAATATCCAAACTATCAACTGAACCAGATATGAGAACCTGCAACCAAAGCCCACAAAGGTAAAATTTATCTGTTCATGCTCCTCGAGGGAACAACTAACCGAAGCAAGTATAATAATAAACTTATATCCATGGGCACCTGAAGCTCATGTTCGTTGAACATGTCGATCCATTCTTTTGGAATGAGTTGCTGAAACCCCCTCAAGAAATGAGAACTCTGCTGGCGTATCTGCAACCGAAAAATGCGATGGTATCAAAAGTTGTTGATTTACAGGGTGACCTCAGGTATGCCAAGATAAATGAGAGGTAAGTGGTTCCCAAGTACCTGAAAATTTAACCGATGATTGGAAACCAGATGAATGAAAGTTATAACATTCTCATTGGTAACTCGCATGTCTTGTCCCCCTGGAAGTAGCTCTTCCTCTGTCCGCTCTCCATATTCATTATTCAAAATAACAAAGTAAAGCTCCAAATCTGAGATATCACCCTTATAACGCTGCAAAAATATCATATGTTAATTACATAAAATGGTTTATAAAGCTAAAAAGCTCCAAAAAAAAAAGAGCCAAAATTCTTGTAGTAAACAAACAATTTCAGTTTCGAAACCAAAAGAAAAACAAACAGATTTCAGCATTCTCCCCGTTCTACAAAGCAACAACTAAATAGAATGTTCAGCAAAACTCACCTTCAGAAATATAAGGTGCCTATACAACTCAGGATCCAGAGAAGGCAAATCGTTCAAATAGTTGTACCTAGCCAAGGAACACTAAAAGTTTCACAACATGTTCACCAGGTCTATGCGAGCTTAAAAACAAATGAAATGACAGGAAGTTGAGGCTAGACATTAAATTTACATACTTTTGTTTCAGTTTGCTGAGGAAAAACGTTGCAAATGGTATATCAACTAGAATCCCTTCAAACATTGCCTGCAACAAGATAAAGGGAAAATATTCCATGAGTCTTGTCATAACAGATGAAAATCAACTTTAAATAACGACAAAAGCCCAGTGCAATAACTTTTCTATGAAAACACCAAGACAATTATACACCTACTAATTCTATTTGCATGAAAACATGACGAGTGGAACAAGTAATGTTTTAAAAATCAAACGAGCCGTACACTGTAAGCATGATGGTTTGCTTTCTGTCCTATATATAAAAGTTTTAAGGATAAAAAATGGTAAATTATAAGAGGTCCGCATCAAGGCCACCAATCAAATATCATACTTTTGCAAGAAGACTGCCGAGAAAATGAAAGAACTGGAGATGCTGGTCATGTATCATTCCTGACCCAGGATTAGGATAAAGCATGTGATCAGCCGTCTCCTGAAAGAAAGCATGTACAAGATTCAGAGAAAGAAAGACGACTACATGCAAACATGATGGAGTAAGGTAAATTATGAAATCCACAAAAACTTAGGTGAGCAAAACTAGATAAATGACCTTAAACAACCCGTATTGCACATCAAAGGCTGCTCGGGTAATTTTCTCCATGAAGTCTTTGAAAATGCCACCACCATCAATACCAGCTTCCTCAACTCCGAGTTCATTGACAAACGTCACGCGAATCTACAGTCAGTAGTTATTTGCATCATAAGTATCGCAAAATAAAAACAAATCAGAGACACAGGAACGAAAATATGGATCTGTTTCAATAGTGAGCCAAGCAATTGCTAGAAGACAGATATCAGGCAAGAACTTACCGACCCCCGAAGATCATCCTCTGACAACGCACTCATTTGATTGTAAGCATCTTCCAAGATATGATCTCTTCGTATTCTGAACCGATTTCGAGCAAAAATTCCTTGCGATCCATGACTCTGCCTTGCTGTTGCTAATTGTGTCTGCAAATGATGACCAGCCGCAGCCAAGCTATCAGTGAACAAGTACATACAATATTTTCTCATATTTACCCAGATTACTTATCCAAGTATATGTTAATTAGCTCTTCTAGGTTCCTCAAAACGTACAAATGATAATTATTCATCAGATATACATATCCCAATGGCCACTCACTGTGAATATTTTGACTCTGCTTGTAAACGGAATCAAGAAAGGAGCTTGCATCAGTATGTAGTTGGCTCTCGTTCCTTCCACTATGGCCTGGATAAAGGAAAAAATATCAGCAATGATAGGGGACAATTAAGACCAATATTAAAAATGATAGATAACGAAACTTTCATAATGTTGGCACGTCGCAAACATTAAACGAAATAGCAGTGTAGTATAGTCACCTGAGAGATGAAATATTCATTGACTGTATCAGCTTGGAAGTCACTTGAGGAAGTGAATTGTTGCCGGTTGTTCCAATCTTGCAACTACAGAAGATTTTATCAGCAGAGAGAATAAAATGAACAGTGATCTTTGCCAAGTTTTACTGACTTAGAGTCAATATAGCCATAATTGGTCAAGGAGTATTAACTTCTTTGCAGCACATACCTGTGAAAGTAACTCAGATACTACAACCCCAACCCTGTTCTGAATCAATTCAACAGGGTTCTTCTTCGAGAGGTCATTGGAGACAGATTTCCCAGTGTTAGGTTGCGTAAGTGGATTCACCCATAATAACTGCCATAAAGCCTGGACAAGAAAGAGCGAAGATACACAAAGATATGAAAAACTATAATCATGGCACATAAGGTACTATTTTTCTGGTGAGCCCAATAAAAGCTATTGTATAAAGATTAGCAGAAA